GCTCCATCATGATGCCTCAATACCTCTGTCTGTGTTGTCTCTGTGCTGGAATTGGCAGGAAATCAATCCCACTCTCATCTACAACCCCCTCCTCCCCTCTCCTTATTCTCCTTCCTTCACGTCGTACTCCCCCTTCCGGCTATAAAGTGTCCATTCTGGACTGAGCACAAGCATCAGCACAACATCACGCCTTATCAGAGCAGGCACAAAGACCCATGGGCACATTGTTTGTCAGTATCAGCCAGCTCCAGTTTCTGCGCACTGTCTGCATCTGCCAAGCCCCCCAAACATACTCGTGACCGTAAACAAGACAACAGAATAAAACTGGAGTTGCCACTGAAATGATTTTTGGGCAAAATGCATTTGTAATTGTAGCTGTTAATTACAGAGTGCTATGAGAATGGAAAAAGATAGATATAAGGATACAGCACATCGTTATTTATTATGCAAATGTATTCCATTTTAGACACAATTAAGTGATTAGAAAGCTGTCGCTCTCTGCTCTCTTTCTTCTCCTTGTCCTTACTTGTCTTTTGCTTTGCTTTTCAGCATATTACTGTAATGAAGCCATTACTTCTTCAAGTGAATTTTAATGAGTTTTTAACTAACATTTTAATGAGCTATACATTACCATAAAGCATGGATTAGGCTAAATTGAATTGTGTGTGTGCTTGTGAGCGTGTCTGTGTGTTGGTATTGTTCGGGGGAAAGTGGTTCATTGAGAGTTAATGATATTGTCTCAGGAGCAGCATGGCACATTTGTCCTGGATCAGCCAGCAGAATCGCCCACTGCGGTCCTATTGTCATCATGGTGCTACCTAGGGGCTTGTTAGGCCAAATTAGGGGTGATCTTTGAAAAATGAGCTTAGACCTAGCTGCTGTTTGAATAAGGCTGTTTGTTCGGTCTTATCTAATGAATCAGAGTTAGAGGCACAATGTGTGGTATGAGTTTGATGAAATGCACTCTGTACATTTACAGTCAGCCCCATCCATTCAGCACCTTTGTACTCCTCACTACCTCTTCAGTTTGACCTTGATCAGGCATCCTCTCCTCATCCCCTACTGTGTTGTGTTATGCCTTGCCCCTTTTCCCTCTAGTTTCCCGCTGTAGCACACATTCCTTCTGTTAAGTATGCTCATTCTGTACGTTATCGCCTCCTGCCATTTCCCCCACTATGCCATCACTGCCGACCGTACGATTCTCTTTACCTTCGCTCCTTTCCATATTTCCTGCATCTTATCTGTGAAAGTGACAGTGTTATTTACAATCCCTTGGCTGAGGATTTGCAGATAGGGAGAATGCTGGTGGAGATCATATCGGGCTTCACCATGGTCTATGGAGAATGATCGCTTGTGCAGGGATATGGCTTCATCTGCAGAGTGCAGAGGCAGCGCTGACAGACCAGTGGAAGTGATTGGAGGAGAGCGAGAAGCAAAGCATGGCACGAAGCTGTGGCATTGGAAACAAATAGCCAGAGAAAAAGAATTACCTCTGATGCTGAAGAATAAGACAGGCAGAGAGATGGTGATGAGTTGTGCTAATGATGAGACTCATTTTTCAGGAGGTATAGCCGTGGGCATTGCCAGACGTCCATATTTTTTCAGCTGTTTCTCTGGTCTGACCTGCAACCCCTCGGTGGAGGAATATAGAGGGTATGTGTGAACCTGCTTCTAGCCTGCCTGCTGAGGGGGTAATTTCTGCATCTGGATGGGGGGCAAAGGTTAGTTCTGGCCAGTGGGAGGGCAAATGAGCGAGATCGAGGGGGTGAAAGCTTGCATCCAGACAAATGGAGCACATCTCCTTTCACAGTGTGGTAATATATAGTGTGGCATTATCCTTCTCCTGCCTTCAGCGTCAACAGTAATACAAAACATCAATGACAGCAAATAGAGTGGATTTTGTATGTTTTGTCAAGTGACACATATATTGTCTCTCTCCTCTAAGGGTGGAACTGAAACTGGTGGTATTGTAATAGCACTCTGCCGGATGAAGCGCAAAAAGCACTCGAACAAAATGATATTATAGCTTGGAGCTACCTCTCTTCAGCTTTAACAGGTTGTGTGTGTGTATGTGTGTGCATGGTTTATTTTTTAATCAGAGTGTGGGTAGAAGGTGGTGGGTCTGGGTGCCGGGGTATGGCCCCGGGCCTCTAGCTGTTGTAATCTCTCTCTGTGTTTCTTAGCCCCTGACCCAGGAGAATATCTGAAAGCAAAGTGTGGTTGTTTTCGCGCAATTAAATAGGGGGGGGGGGGGGAAGTAAGAACAACTAAACAAAAACACACAAATATTAACATTTGCAGTATTACAAAAAGTCATCAAGCCCTGCAGCTTTTATGGTTTTGTCAGGTTTGTGCATAGATTTTTGTGTCTGTGTGTGGTGAGATGTCATATGTGAATGTCAAGACTGAGGAGGGGACATACATATTCTTCACACATCAGTGTGCGGTGTTTGTGAACCAGAGCTAGGAACCCTCCTGTAGCAGAATGCATTTGTCAGCACTTATCTCAGTATGCAGGCTGGACGCTTCAGTCAGGACTTTCCACTAATCTCACTGACCAGCAGTGTCACCCTCCGCTGAGTAATATCTTGGGAAGGAAAAGAGCAGCAATGCACAAAATATCTCTCCTCAACTGTCTTCGCCCTGCCACCTCTTTGCTATGATGCAGGGTGCTGTCATGTATTTGCGCCGGGACACATTATACACACACACACACACACACACACACACACACACACACACACACACACACACACACACACACACACACACACACTACCGAGGTGGACCTCCCTGATGGTTGCTGGCACAGGCCTTCCCTGCCAATGTTGGACAATCTGCTTTTCAGAGTAACTGTGTGGGTGTCTTCTTTGTATTTTTATTTTGGCAAAGACCTCAACCCCTTGGCTGTTTCCTTGCGCATCTTGCAACCTGACTCCCTCCCCTTTCAAAGTTTCAGCTGTTGAAACAGTGCCAGCTTTAAGAGCTGCACGTTTGCCATGTTTTGCCCCCTGCCTGATGCTCCTTCTCTCCAATCAGCCCACTCCTCTGATTTTTTGGAGTTGAATAAATAAAAGAGAAGAAGCAAAGACAGATTAATATTATTCAGATATGGGTTATTTTAGCCCGCAGCAGGATTGACACAGATGTAGCATTTGCCAACAGAGGGGTGTAAATGTACAATATATAAATATTAATAAGCAAGACGGCAGAGTTTGAGGCCTACTGGAACTCCATGGGAGGTGAGATGTTTTCAGTGGAAGAAGAGCTGAGTGTTTCAGGGGGATATAAAGCCAATTACCTTACGTCTGTCAGCTGATTCGGATCTGAATGCCTACAGGGCCTCCTAGTTGGAGCAGGAGTTCAATTTCTGACAACAAATGCACAAACCCACCTAATGATTCACACATACCAGATGCACCTCTCGCAGATTAACAGAGAAAAGCAGCCGTATTCACATCATTCACTTGCTTTAGGACCTCCGGCAGAGGGTGGTTCAGCTCACAGTGGTGCCTGCGGGTAACCATTTGAGAGATACATGCTCATACTGTAATGAAGCTAGAAACGGTCACTAAGTAGATGCATATTTAAGTTGTGTGTTTGTGCTCTAACCATAGGAATTTGACCTTGGTGACCTTGTGGTTACAATTAGATTGTTTAATAAAGTGTGTTTTGATTGAACCCTCCCCTCATTTACTTAGTACATCAAACTGGTTAGAGTGTAGTCTTGGTATTAGCAAGCCCTGAACCAACACATAGTTATAATCCCTCACCAGTGGTGTATCTGTTTGTTTGCTTGTTGCTGTTTGCAATCCACTGTTTATCCTGTTCTCAAAAAAGTGTGTGTGTACATTGTATTCATTTCTGCTGGATTGTATGGTTTCTCTCTTTTTCATTTTTCTCTTCACATTTTTTGTATTTATTTAGATTGCAGGGCAGAGATGCATTTAGTGTGACGTGCATTGCCTTGTAGTATCAGATTAGAATAGACAGCGTGGCACAAGCACCGTAATGATGCACCTAATGTTTGTTTCTTTTGTCACTCCTCTGTTTCAAACGAAATTGATTCTGACAAAATCCCATGGGTGCTATCAGCAATGAATGGAAAGGAGAAATTAAATCCATCGCCATCTTGAAAACATTAGGCTGTGTATGGCCCAAACCAGGCTATGATTTTAAACAGCATGACTTCTGTTTGTAATGCAAATACCCCAAGCCCAGTGGTGGTGGTGGCTGATATCCCTGGCCAGGCGGTCGCCACTCTGGATCCGGCTAATTACCTTAGACCTTTATAGGGCAGCCCTGCATTAGAGAGAGAAATCCTCTATCTCTTCTGTATTCGGTCCTATTACCCCTGTGTAAAGGTTTCATTTGAAATTCATGTCACACAAAAGTCCCACTCTGTACCCCTGTGCATCCCCAGGATAATTGGGTTGAAAGCTTCCTCTCCTCCTCCGCCTATCTCCCCCTTGGTCTAAATAAATAAATAAAAAGACAATGGCTCTCTGTAGAGAGGGTAAGGAGAGTGAATGAAGAGATGAGAGAAGCCTGCAGCGCAGGGACCAGTTATCCCCTCTTATAATCCTGGCCCTCCCCACCATTGTCCCCGGTGCTATGTGGAATTTACATAAGGACCTATGGTGCTGCCCTTAATTTAGGCCTTCTCAAGCGTCTTCAAACATCCTCCAACAAGCTCAGTCCTTTTATCCTTCAGAGGAATAATGTGTCCCTCGCTCCCGCGTGGATGGACACTGCTGAAGCTGAAATGTATATAGTGCATCGCTTTGGATTCGATTTATTGCAGATCAAATGGAGATAGATCTGTTTGAGTACACACAGCAGGGGGGGAAGCCAGAACTACGCCCAGTTTATACCTTTATAATGCATTAGGTATTATGTATGTGAAATTATTATGGAAGGTGTATCCTGCTAGTATGTTTGCATACGTTTGTGCATTCATATTGACATGCTTGTGTGTGTTTGTGTGACAGCAGATCGCCATGTTTGATAATGAGCTGGTGTTGTGTGTTTTGCTGAGCACTATCCTGGGTGAGAGGCTATCTCTGTGATGAAAGGCCTACCTGAGGGGTATACAAGCTGGCCACAGTTGTTCACCAGACCACCCACTGTTTTTTTGTGCATTAACACATATCTGTAGGTGTGAGTGTGTAAGTCTGTGAGTGTGTACATGCAAGCAGAGTGAAGCCGTGTTGCACCCATGTGAGCTCTCACATGTGAATGACACCAGGCTTCAGGGCATTCTGTATCTGTTTGTTCTGCTGCCTCCTCAGGGACCTCCATTAGCTCCAATTAGCCTTCACTTGTGCTGGCTTTGTCAGATGAAGCGGCACACCCCATTCAAAATAGCCACGATATAAGCTGTATGCATTCACGCTGTGTTATAAAAATGGTAGACTTAAACATTTGCACTCTTACTGAACTATTTATTTCCTTTTTTTTGTCAGTGCTGCGAGATGACTTCAGACAGAACCCGACAGACGTGGTGGTGGCCGCAGGAGAACCAGCAATCCTTGAGTGTGTTCCGCCCCGAGGCCACCCTGAACCCACCATCTACTGGAAGAAAGACAAAGTGCGAATTGATGACAAGGATGACAGGATAACTGTAAGTACTATTTCTATCTGTTTTAATACCTGGACTCAATAGTAAGAATTACTGTCAATGTCTCTCACTTTCAGTTTCTGGGCACAACTCATGCTGCTGTCATCGAACACATTTAGCTGTGTTTTTTAGTGTTTGATGAAAGTATAATCATTTGGTTGCTTCAGTTCAACGCAAGAAAAAATTGCTGAAAAAAATGCATTATCTTTGTATTAATCCAAAAACTCTCTGTTTCTCTAGATTCGAGGAGGGAAGTTAATGATCTCCAACACACGAAAGACCGACGCTGGCATGTACATCTGTGTGGGAACCAACATGGTCGGAGAGAGGGACAGTGAGACAGCACAAGTCACCGTGTTTGGTAAGATTTATTTCTCTTGCTCTCCTGAAAGAAATGTTGTCTTCAATGATGTAGCAGAGCCACTTTTGTATTGTATATTCCTGGTTTTGACTACATTTCTCTATCAATGTAATGACCATAGAAAATATTGCAGATGATCATTGAGGGTTAATGAATGGACTAAGAGAGTTATGAAAGCAAGAGTTAGTAGACAGAAGGTCACCAGTCTGAAAGAAGAAACCACTGTGTGGAAAATAGAAGAAATAGAATTTTCATTACCCACAAACATAATCCCACAACATTATATAATAATATGTTCCTTTTCTATCCTCGGTGCCCATCATGCAGAACGACCGACCTTCCTCCGGAGGCCCATAAACCAGGTGGTCCTGGAAGAGGAGACGGTGGAGTTTCGCTGCCAAGTACAAGGAGACCCTCAGCCAAATGTACGCTGGAGGAAAGATGACGTTGATGTCCCTCGTGGAAGGTAGAGGAACATTCTTTAAAAATATGCTTTATTTCTATAGAGAGCTTCCTCAAAATATAGTAATGAAATGTATGTGTGGGTTTGCAGCACCACCACCAATGTGACAGGTTGCACGTTATATAAAGGAGCTGCGGAGGCATTAATGTCAATCTGAGGGACAGTTTCGAAGTAATCATAGCCCTCACTGACAGCGCTCACCTGGCCTGGCTGCTAAGGGACATTTAAAATCTTATTTAGGCTCTACACAATGTATATCACACATTCTGGATGGAATGAGCCCACCCTTTGGTATCCCATAACACAGCTCCCACAGCCAGAGGGGTAGACATTGTATCTTGTCAAGGAAAGAGTCTGCGTGAAAACAACCAGAAACTGAGCTAGACAATTAAAAGTGCGTGACAGGTAAGTTGGCAGGGAGGCTAAAAGGTAGACATCTAGAGGAGCAGAAAATAGGCCCCATTGCAAAGTAGACCAAGACAGATAGAAAGACAGCAGATATACAGAGACATCGTATAGCTGCTGACGTGGCCCTCAAGTGTCTGTGTACAGGTGCAGCTATTCAGGTGAAGTCTTGGCACAGACACCTCATAAAAGGATAATCACTCCCTCTCTTACACATTTAACCCCTTTCAGTGCCTATACCCTTGCTGACATGACACATGCATTCACTCACAGCTGCAAAGACACACAGTGATCAAATAAAATAGGGAATACAAGTCTGTACCAAGAAAGCATCGTTGCCAGATAGTCTGGCTCACTTCCTGTAAAAAGCTACTGATGATATAGAGATGCTGTAGCTTCTTGGTCCCGTGTGTTGCTTCACCATGAGTCACTGAACTCCCAGTCAATAGTAGTGTCATTGTCGGGAGTGGACTTCAAAGAGACCAGCGTTTTTTGTCCCTAGCAAACAAGCCAGCCACACACTGCTTGGATAACCTCATAAAAACATACACTCAGTGGACCTGACATCTCTCAAGGCTAGCCGCAGAGCTGTGCGTGGGCGGGTTGTTTGTGTCTGATAAGGATTTGATTCACTGGGCAGTTCGACACGAGCACTGTGCCAAAGCAAACACATATAAGTACTTCACTCATGCCTTTGATAGGGAGTTGGCTCTGGAAATGAGTTCATTTTGTACACTAATTAACAGATTTATAACTGAGTAGGAGGAGAGTCATGTGCTTCCGTCCTTGCGTACCGTCTTGTCCCTTTGAAGTTATGCCTTATTCGGATATTAAAAAAAGAACAGAAAACAAAAAAAAAGATACTGCCAAACAAATAAGTAATATATAGTGCAATGTTTCTAATTACAATGAGAATTCTTTAGTTTCCCTCACTATATTTAATTCTGCAGACGCAGAAAGCAAGCACGAAGACTGCAATATTCCAATTCTGACATTTTCTGCTGCCTTTGTTGAATGGCAAGAAAACTCGTATTTTAAAGTGACTGAGTGTTCCTGCTTTCCCTACCATTTATCCTCACTTAATTATCATCAAACAATGCCTTCTCTGACTGACAGAAGAATGGTTGAAAATCCCACACAGGAGTAGTTTCCAGTAAGATAACTGGCATGTGCTCAGAAATACAAGAAGAAATAGAAGCAGCTGATGTGTCACCAACCTGTAGGCGTCAAACAGTAATGGTCTTAGCCATAGGAGTAAACGATTAAAGATCAAGCACTTCTATATGCAGCGAGGAGAGGTCTTTGTCTGCTCTTTATCTCAAAAGGTTACACTGTCCTTATTATTATGTTAAGCTGTAAAAGGAGGGACTTAGTAAGGTGGCTCCTTCTTTACCATCAAATCGTTTTAACTTATCTTTGCTGGTCCCTTTACACTTGTGCGTGCCTGTTTTTTCATGTGTGTGTTTGTGTATAATTGTTATACTAGGAAGAAGGGAAATGGAGCCTCAGCTGAGTAAACAGGTCTTTAATATGCTCAGTGGTTTCAGCAGCCTCCCAGGCAAACACATGCACACACTGGCACATAGACATAAGGCCCATCAGGATGGCACTGGCTTCAGTCTCTGTGGGATAGAAAAAGGAAAAAGAGACAGCACAAGGATTGTTTCAATTAGAGGACAGAGACAATAGTGATGCTCTTTTGCCTCTGTGTGGGAGTTTTACTACGTTTGTTAAAAAAAAAAACTGGATTAAAATCAAACCAGCTTTTCTACTCTAGGAGACTGGCCAACAAGCTTTGGTACGGCAAAGTAATACAATAGGTACATTTTTCAGTATGAGGCCAAATCCCTAGACGTATCCCTGTGAAACCATTCAAATAACAGTCTGGTACATGTCAGAGTCAAATAAATAGCTACTGTATAAGTGTCGAGTAACAACAGGTGCATTATAACTGCAGGGGCATTAATTATGATTTTGAGCTTAAATATTAGCATTGCCTTTTGATCCAAAATCTAAATAAGAAATATTTAGAAATAACCAAATTGACATGGATATTTTAAAGCACTGTCTGGACTGTGTTCAACCCAACGCCTAATAACAGGATCTTGTTATTTAAAAAACAAATATACCATTTTAAGTGTTGATATCAAAGGCTTCTTTCCGAATTCCAATTCAACCATTTCATTATGAGGATGGGAGTCTTTGAGTTGTTACATGCATGTAGTAGGGCTGCTCAATTAATCGTATTTTAATTGCAATTACGATTATGGCTTGCAACGATTACGAAAACAACGTAATCGAAATAAAATGATTACTTTTTTATTATTATTACTTATTTTTCTTTCTTTTTTCAAATTACTTTTTTTTTTTTTTTATTGTTTTTTCAGTTGAATTATACTTAAAGTTCAGGGCAATCACAACTGTTAAAAACATACTGTTAAAAAAAAAAATTCTCCAATAAATTGATGTTTTCAAAGTAAATGGATAATCGTTTTTAATAATCGTGATATCAATTATTGACCCAAATAATCGAGATTATGATTTTTGCCATAATCGAGCAGCCCTAACATGTAGTCCACCAAAAAATACATGTACTAATAGCCAGGCCAAGACAGAATGATAACCGGCTGCTGAAATTAGATCAGCCGTTTGGTAACATTGCAGGTTCTTACTCTCATAATGGTTTTTCCTTAAATGCATATGGTGGTGCAAAGTTTTTAACAAGACTTAGATTAAAGCCATATATTTTGTCATTTTGCAGCCCTATTAATACTTAAACCAGAAAACATATCATTTTTGAGAGCAGCTTCATTTGGAATTCTATCAGGATCATATTAATATCAGTCTGTAAAGTATCTCTGCTGATTCTTGGGGAAAGTACAGAATAGCTGCTCCCACATCAGAGAGCCAGTAGAGGAGAACCAGGGAGCTTTGTGTCTCCAAATGGAAGAGTCTCCGCCATAGTCTATGAATCCCAATAAAAAAACGTTGCCAGTGTGTGTTATCTCCCACTGGATACCAGCTCAGTGTTTTACCTCGTCTTTCCCTCCTTTGGTTTCCCTTTCCCTGCTTGTTTGCTCCGGACCCCTGTGCCCTCTGCTGTGCCTTATCAGAGCCTCTTTGGTCCTGCAGTCTATCTGTATTCAGGCCCCCTGTCCCCGTTGACCTCCACTGCACAGCCTCTGCAACATTCAGCAGGAAAAAGCCTTTCTTTCTGACTCATTCCCTTCATGGTTTTGCACCGGTGTGGGTTTGTCTATGATAGAGGTGTGTGGGTCATTATATTTGAGAGAGCTGTTAAAGCTAGTGTGACAGGAGCGTCTGCGTTATGCTGACCATCCAGTTTCAGTGATTTCTCACCTCTGCAGCTCAGCAAAAGGAAAAGACGGCAAGCTATGGTTCCTGTCTCCATTACTTCCCCTGATATATAAGTGGATACATCTGGTATTTATGAGTGTGCATGTGTATGGGGGGGTGCTGAGTGCAATAGCAGTATGATGCTCAGCAGTGGTTTATTGATTGTGTCAACAGTAAACTAATGGGAATAAAACAAGAATCCACTGTTTATGACCGTGAATATAGAAATGTTAGTTTTGCATTAATTAGGATGATACACAGTGGATAATGCATTATGTATAAGAGCTTTTCATCCTCATGGAAAGAAAGAAAATGACCTTTCAATTTCTAAGAAAGCCTAGATGACTACCTCAGTTCTTTTGTTTTCTCTATCTCCATTTTCAGATTTACCATACTGACCGCTCCAAACCACTTTTGAATAAGTAAAGACTTCACTGCTGCCACTGTGGCACTGGAGAGAAGTCACTCTTTTAAAGGCACATTTTGGATCAGTTTACTACCCACAAACCACCAGCCTTACAATAAGGGTCAAAGTCTTTCCAAACTGATCCTATATCAATATAGGATAAGGTGCTGAATGTAAGTCAGACTGATTGTAGGCCCTGACCCTGCTGATGCTTCAGAGATGCCAGTAGGGAGTAGAGTTCTGGCTAAGGGCCTTACAAAAGGAAGATGAGAAGCGATAGCGGTTAATTGATTCCCTCTCATGGGTGACAAGCTCTGGACAGGTAGTCTCCAGCTCTTTTGATCAGGATGTGCTAAAGTAGCTGTTAGATGGTGTGAAACTGGATCAGACTGACAGAATGAAGTGGAGCAGAGAGGGGACTTTGTGTCAGAGCAGCAGGGCCAGAGAGCAGGCCTGAATTGGTCCTCTGCCGTATCTTGAGTCAGAGTTGGCACACAACCCTTCTGCCTACAGCCGGCCCCATTCATGTACACACAGAGACAGAGCAGATAAGATCCTTTCAGGTCGAGTCATTTTGTTGATAACAGTACGCACACATTCAGTCGGACACACTACCGAGATATACGATTCACTTAATGCGGGTGAATTGGCACAAGTCTGAAGGTGGAGCATGGGTGAGTGTGTTTCTGACAGATGGTTTCAAAGCAGATCATCTGCAGGACTTTTGAGATGTGATGCCTTTTAAAGTCTGTGCAATAAAGTTGTCATCTTTGCACAGCCTTCTTCGTGCAGCAAACACATCAAGTTGACAACCCAGGAAAATGCTGCTTTGTCTTGGCCTTTGCTTACATTCCCATCACTCCTCATCTTCCTGCAAGATTGAATGACTCGACACATGTGTGGAAATGTGTTGGATGATTGTGTACTCTGTTCTTTGTGTGAGTGCGTGTGTGTACAGCGTGCCTTTTCTCTGTTGAAAAGGAGGGAGAGTGAACTGGCTCTCCCTCCTTTCCACAGCCCTTCTACTTTACATGTGCAATTACATTCCTCCTCTAATAGAGAACAGAACTATGCCCCAATTCAGTTTCAATAAAGAGCTACTGTTCCCTTTCTGTGTGTACTTACACGTTTGTGTGGCCGCAACTACCTCTTATCCCTGAGTATTTCCACTCATCTTGTCATCTAGGCTGATTCCATATAGGAAGTTGATTACAGATTGATTGGGTTTATGTTTTCCCCTAATAAGTCCTGGACCAGCCTGAGGTTCTCTTTTGAGAGATTGATGGAGTAGGGACCTAGAACAAAAAGCATGTTGTCCAGTACATGTATACGTGGGTTATCCAAATGGTGAGGGCTCGGTCATGCAGATGTCAGACTGCAGGAAACTGTATGAGCAGTTGAACTGTCCACCTGTTTTGTTGTTTTGAGATTATAACATATTTGGCTCTAATACATTACCTTAACACAGTATCACAACTAGGGCTGCTCAATTAATCGTATTTTAATCGCAATTACGATTTTGTCTTGCAACGATTATGAAAACAACATAATCGAAATAAAACGATTATTTAATTTTTTAATTTTTAATTTTAATTTGTATTGGCTTTTCAGTTGAATTATACTTAAAGTTCAGGGTAATCAACTGTTAAAAACATACCGTTGAGATTTGTTTTTCAATAAATTGATGTTTTCAAAGTAAATGGATAATCGTGATATTAATTAGTGACCCAAATAATCGAGATTATGATTTTTGCCATAATCGAGCAGCCCTAGTCACAACTATGTCTGTCACAATTGTAGATGTCACAAGATTAACGTGGTCAAAAGTATTCGCAACATTTTGTTAGCCATGATGTTAGCATGGCTCTTTGGATGGTAAAGTCCTTCTGCCATTTAATTGGTCAGTCCACCATTTTGGTCCAGACTGAAATGGACTTAAAATGAATAATTATCTACCTTTAGCTGTACTTTATGATATCACTAATAAGCAAATGTTACATACCAAAATGTATCATCATTTTAAACTAGCATGATGAACACGGCAAACCTTCTACCTACAGTAGAATGCTGATGTTTGTTGACGCAGAGTTGGATATGGTTGGGTGTTTGAAAGTGCTCAACATATTTGTATCTTGTTCACTTGCTCTCATCTTTGTTTGTTTGGGAGTCATGGTGTTTTCCCTAAGCCATTGCCACTCTTTTGCTTATCTCCACCTCCTCTTGCAAGCCAGTACTTCATGTTGAGCTTCCCATTGAAGCCTGGGGGGATTCTCGTTCTAATAGCTTGTTTATTTTTCATCTGGCAACAGGCTTGTCACAAAATGTGCTGTAGATGCCTGTCTCTCAGTTTCAACAATAAATACTTTATTCACGTCCCCCACCCTTACCTGAACTGTACATCCCCTTTCTCTAGAACAAAGCATTCAGTCATGACTCAGTCAAATAATCATTATGGCTCCTTAAGTACCTGTGTGGATAGGAGGAACTGGCAGTCAGAGTTGAGGAATGTGCTTCAATAAAGCTGCCTTTGAATGCTTGCTCAGGAAATGTCATAACAGCAGGTGAAAAAAAAATACAGGACAGGACAGATTAGTTTTGCAGCTGCTAGTGGCAAGCAGCCATCAGTACACCTGATGGTCGAGCAGAGGGGTCTTTCCCACTCTGAGGGGAATGGACCATAGCATGCTGTTACTCTAAAATCACATCAGAAATTTTCGCTGTAAATCAAAGACTGTTGCCATATCTAATAGTCCAATGTATTATCCACAGTAAACAGATACCCTAAAATACCTCATAGTTTAAAATATAAATCACTTCTATTTAAATATCAGCAATTTCCATGAAGAGACCAAAACCAGAAATATATGTATCCCTCTAGCAAGCTGTGTAGCCAAAGTCCAATGTACCATACTCCTCTGTGCCACAAAGCTCTATTGTCATCTAAAGGCCATTAAAAACATATAAAAGAGTCATACTTTTGGACCGGGTGGCATATTTCTTCATTACAATGAACATGGCCAGTGTAGTTCTGAAATAACTTTGCGACTGCATTTTCCAATCTCTTAAGGGTTAGCACCATGTTGGGCAGACATATGTCTTATGTATTTTTAATAGTTGTTGGGCTGCAAGTTTGGAGTTTTATGGCACAGAGGTAAAAGCTATAATAAAAGGAGAATGTAATGTCAGGGCTGTCCTTTAAAGACCCTTTGTGGATTTGAAACATTCTGGCTTTGGGGGATTCCAAGTGGTGTATATATATGGACAGCGTTACTCATATTTAAGGCTGAAAGTAACACACAGATTGCAACAATTTCACTTTTCATTGTCGGATTATGTTCAAAAATATTCTACAATCTTATTAAAATGCTGCACATGTGCTCTAAAGGGGCAACATAGTGTCAAGCTCACATAGAGTGGCCTGTTATCGGAACATCTCAACACTGTTTTCTGTGCCTGTGAGTGACATACTGTGGACAGCAGAAGGTTGTCAGGCTGACAGACCACCATCACACAGCTCCACCACCCCCACTACTTACGCACTGCCAGGCCAGCACCCCCTTCAATTACAGACTGAAACAACAAGCCTGACCAGCATCATCCCCCTGTCAACCGCCTTGAAATGTATACAGGTCTAGGCACACACAACCTCTTGCAAAAAAAACATAAACACAAACAGTTGACTACTGCAGTGTAATTGAAATTACAGCCAGCTACAGTATAGATGCTATATACATTCAGTCAAATACAAAGGTGTAGCTCTTTTTTATTAGATTTATTGTATACATATATCCATGCATAGGGGTGTGGCTGCAGCATGGCCTAGTTATGCACATGTACATACATAAAGCTCTGCATATGGTTTAAACATACATACACAGAGAGAGAGAGAAGCATCTCATGAATATTAAACAAGTTTTGGAAGGTTCCAACTGAACGCACAACACTCTGTTTGTTGTCTGTCATTGTTGAATAATTGATCCTTGCAATCTTCATTTGTCAGAATGAACAATTGTGCTTCTGTGTTCCTCACAAAGGAGACTTTTACCAGCTAGGTAATATACTGAAGCAAGTCTTATCTGTCGAAGGGTTAATTTGTTATCTGAATGTAAAGTATGTATTTTCAATGTTGAACAGGTAACTTAGATTTCATGATTCCTCGTATGTGTTAACCTACCTGGTAATAAACCTGCTTCTGATTCTGATGATGTAACATCTTTGTTGATAGGTACGAGATCAAGTATGATAAGGATGACTATTTGCTGAGAGTGAAGAAGGCTTCCATTAACGACGAGGGCACGTTTACCTGTGTGGCAGAAAACCGCGTGGGCAAGCTGGAGGCCTCCGCCACTCTCACCGTCAGAGGTAAAAACCCTTCTTTTCTTTTTCGGACAATAACTAGCATATGACAACACTTAGAGAAGTCATGGAGCACTGAGGGTAACGTACATGTACACTAAAATGAGGTTCAGGTTGGTAGTTTACTCCATAGGGTCCCCTTTACACAAATAGGAACCCAGTATGCTGACTCCCGCAGCCAAGAAATATGTAGACAGTCAATGAATCTGTTTAATTATTTACATTTCCAAGTGCAGCGTTGACACACTCTGCCACCTTCCCCCTGTCGTGGTGGTCTGCTAGCCACGCTACCCTCGATTCTGCAACCACCCAGTCAGCAAAGCCATTTCACAGATTACTGGTGCACACCGCCAGTCCAACACCTGGGGTTTTGCGATGTTAATAAAAACATGCTAAGCATAATTTTCACCCTCATTTCGCCACTCTTATTTACACTAAATCCAAGTGATTAGAGTCTCTGTTGAATTATTTACAGGGACACAGGGCCATGGGTGGATAAAACCAGGTGTGGGTCATTTTCTCTTATTGGGCTCGTGATTTGTGAAGGCAGCGTCTTAGTGTTTTGCTTGAAGATGATGACATATACAGCACCGAAGAAACACCACCTGCACCAACTTTTCTGAAGGGAAAAGGGTGCTTCAACAGTTCTGATCACTGGATGAACGCACATGCTGTCTTCACGTTTTTGCTTTCTATTGATCTCCTTTATTCTGCTCCGTCCATTAAAAAAACACACCTTCATTTTGCTACTACAGACACACAACATCCGTACAAATGTAGATTTCATTAATGCAGACAGCAAAGGTCCAGTAGCTTTTTTGTCACTCACAAAAATAATTGCCTGAATTGGAAATTTGCGACCACCAGGCTGCGCTCATATTAGATGGCTGTTCCAGACATGCTGTTTCTGAGAAACAGAGCCTTTGAGCTAATCAATAAAACTGCCCAGTGGACAAAGACTACTGGATCCTCTCTGCCATGCTGACCCTGTGCCAGAAAAGGGTTGGCCACAAAGCAACATGTCATTCATTCTGACTTTGATTTTGTTTTGTCTTATTTTTTTTCTGTTTGTCTTTTTTTGTTTTTTCTGTTTGTTTGTTTGTGTCTTGATTTGTTTATTTGTGTATCCACTCCTCCATTGTTGTGTCTCCAGCTCGCCCTGTCGGTAAGTACCCATACTTCTGATTTGATCCCATCCTGCATGATGTCTTCATACAAATGTTTAATTTGACTGCTTTACAATCAATTACCATTGTTTTATTGTTAACAGGTCTTACTTCACATGGCGCACTCCTATAATTATTGTTTACACATCGTTTTGTAGTATGTGGAGATTTTACAGCTCTAACTGGATTAATAAAACACTAATGGTGAATAACAAGTGTTTTTGTTCATTTAATATGATACACTTTATTCCTGTAAGTTTTCTTGAGTATAATGTTTTGAACTTAAATGCAAATAACCTACTTATACTGTAATACATTTCAACAAACTGTCAACATAATTTCTGATCCAAAAGTATTCTCTATATCAACATGATGTTATCATAAAACAACTTGTGAAAGCAGTAATGTTTAAAAATCAAAAAGCATTACTTATTTTAGTGTTAGTTTTTCAAAATGTCAAAAAGCCACAGAATATTCAAAATTAGAGTCTTTATTTATATCACCTGATTTCAACCAGCAGGTGATGGAACTGTTGTAGGTTTCAATTGAACTCTCTTGTGTGACAGATTTATCCTATCCCCTAAAGTTGTAGCATAAAACTAATGCCAGTAGACACAATACCATTTCCTTAACAATGACTGAGTGGGCTGGCAGTCCAATAGTCTCAGAAGTTGTTATCAAATATGTTCCAGAACGTGTTTAACTTGCAAGTCTTGAAGCCATCTGTGAATTGTTGGAACACAAATCTGAGATCTGTTTGTTTTGGACAAGCTTCATTTCTTTTGAGTACCACACTATAGTGTTGGGAATCTCATTGTATTTCCCTAGAGATTGGGAGAAGGTCATGGCAAAAGTACATTTGTTATGCATAACAGCTTACATTCTTAAAGGAATGAGTGAAAATGGGCATCTTGAAAAAAAAAGGTGAGCCTATTGAGAGGCTAAACAGAGAAATAACAGGAAGAAAAAGACTTTTCAGGACAAAGAAAGGAAAAGAAAAGAATGGCATAAGTGTGAGACAGACTTGACTGGCAGAAGAACCCAGACACTGCCTCATTGGAAGGACTTTGGTTGCCAAAACAGCAGTAACTGTTCTGCAATTGTCAAACTGTCAGCTTTCAAGAAGATGGAGGAAATTACACATTCAATCTGCCTGTGGGAAGAGACAGCAATTGTCGTAGACTTCTGAATAAAATATGATTGAACGTGAGATTGTAAAGAAGAAATGCCTCTTGGTTTGTGGCCCTGGGTGTACTGAATGGATGTCTTTCTCTCTGTTCATTTGTTCTTTTCTCCCTGAAATGCTGAGTCCTCTCCAAACCAGGCAGTTGTAGCTTGTCGTGAATTAAATATGGGCGCCAGATCAGGTTTTTCCTTGGGAGAGGACAGGAAGTAGCCTCTCACATGTCATTTAGGGTCTGTGAATCAAAAACAGGGCCAGTGTGAGTTAGCCCTCAGCCAAGCTGTGAAACTGTCACTCCATTTCTTCCTCTTGATTTGTCTGAGTTTTTGATCTGTTCTTTTCTGTTCACCCCCTTTGCCTCTATTAGAGTCCATCCCCTAACATTCCCTATGAGTATTTTATTCCCTTTACAATGACATTTGAAATATAGAAAGGGAAATTGAAAGTACTGCCACAGGTAAAGGGTCCTGATGCAAAGGTGTTTGCTAGTATAACAATTATTCACATTTTATTTTTGTAGAGTTAAAGTCAATATTTCTTTTTACAACCAGCTGCCAACAATCATCCATACAAGGACAAGCCAATTATAAACCTCAAAATCATTCATTTAACCAAATTATGTTTGACAGTACTTGGTATCATAAATATGGAAATAAGTTGGGTAAATTCTTCTCCATAAATTAAGTTGACATTTTATTTGCAAGAAGAGCCTTTGAGAAAGGAAAATACATTGATGAAGAAAGTGTGAGAAGGGACGATGGCGATGCATTAAGGGACAAGTCTGTAAGGTGTTAAACCATATTTTTAGCGGGTAGTTAGTTATGCGATGTGTGGGATGGAGCAGAGGAAGCAAAGGGAGGGAACTGAGTCCTTGCCAGAGCATGATTTAGGAGCTCTGTATCAGGCCCAGCATTGTGAGAGCCACGAGATATTCAAGCTGCAGAAGGCCAAACGGGAAAGCAGTAAATCTGTAGCCATCTGTACCATTCCCAACTGTGTGTATCTTTGACAAATACACACACCCCAAAAAGGGATTACATAGAAAAACCAGCCAAATGGGAAGAGATTGGCCTTACTGGAACCAGCTGGCTTGTCAGTGAAAGGACTTACAAAGAAATAAAAAGAAACAGAAAGGGTGCAAAATGTTTCAACATTTGTTTCTTCGTCATGTAATTTACAAACAATCTCTGAACCTCTTGTTTTCCATATTTTTTGCCTCAAGAAAATTGCCCTTTATTATCTATTTTCTTCACTTACCCTGAGTATTTAATTTGTTGACTTACATTCTCTCGGCAAGAATCATGTAATTTCCTATATGGAACGTGTTGTCGATGTAGCAAACATGGTACTTGTAAACACAACAAGTATAGAATAAACAAGCTTGGGTCTAAGTTCAGGTATTTCACAGAGATCTAGTTTTGAAGCTGGGCTAATTTATTTTAACTTATTTCCTTCGATGCTGCAATGTATTGTGACCAACCCATAGACATAACATAGGTTTTGATTACTTGACATAAACAATTTTTTATATTAATACAAATGAATATCCCTTATGGTAATAAGTAATATAGTTTATCATGGGAGAACAACATTATAATTCATTATTATCCCAGTTTTCTGCTCGGATTGATCAGTTTTTGTTTGTTCGAGTAATGATAATGCTGCCTCCATAACCTACCTCAGACTATGGTCAGGGAGCAAAGAGAGGCGAAGCTGCACACCAAAAGGAGTTGTATCTAATCTCTGAACTCCACTCTCTTTATAATTAAACTGCATCTGCCAACTTGTCAGTCAGAAATGTATCACTCTGTCGCGACTAGGAGTGTGTGACAACTGCATGGGCTTATGATGGAGATGAATATTGACTGAGGAAGCTTCACACTACAATTTAAAAGTCTGATATGTTTTCAAGCCTCCATCTCTACTTGATGGAGAGGTGTTAGCTTGAAGTGTGGTGAACACAGAATTGGTCTTTTCTGTTTCTCACTCCCTGTTGATACAACTTTGATCAAAAGTACAGTGCTGCTTCAGATCTTGACTTTTATATGAGATGCATTATGATGCAGACATTTTAATGAATCCTTGTATGTCTTTACCTGTTCACAGTTGTGTATGATTCCAGGGAATGGGTGTGCCTTTGTGTTGTCCCAGATCTTAGTGCCATTGTGACTAAGAATATTTCCCTTGTGATTGCCAATGTCATTCATTCAGCCTCAGCCCCACCTGGATGAATGGCCAACCTGGTTAACATGACAATGATAGCCATGATTGTCCTTCCTCTGCATGGAAGCTCTGTACGGCACTCCCACTTTGTTTGACTATGTGGTTTATTGCTTGTCTTTGCTTGAAATCCCCAAGCCCTGATTATCTCCAGCCCTGATGTTTGGTGTCGCTGTGTACCTCTGGTCTTCTAACATTGTTGTTTTTGCCCTTTGACCTCAGCTGCGCCCCAGTTTGTCATTCGCCCAAGGGACCAAATTGTGGCTCAAGGCCGCACTGCCACCTTCCCGTGTGAAACCAAAGGAAACCCTCAGCCTGCTGTCTTCTGGCAGAAGGAGGGAAGTCAGGTAAGAGCAGACAATCTCACACAACCCAGTTTGTAGAAAACAAATTTTCTTTTTCCCAATATATCTTACATGTAGAAATATATTGCTCTCTTAGTCTGCAGCTTCTGTTATCTACTGTGCGTCTGGTGATCAACTCTCAGCACTTTGTTTAGATTCCCTGGGCTGTATGCACAATTGCTGAGTACTTCCTCCTTCCATACATGCACATGCACACACACACACACACACACACACACACACACACACACACACACACACACACACACACACACACACACACAGAGCACTGCAAACTAAACTATCTGTCATCCGTATCTTTACTACAGACACATATACACCTTTGTTCTCAGGAGCCGCCAAACGGCAGTGTGCCTGGCAAAGTGCTAATCGGTTTCCCCGTGACCCTGCACTGATAAGAACGATCCTATCCCTCACTGGAGCAGATAACCCATTCAAATACCTGGGTGTCCTCACAACGCTCAACAACAGTGCCAATTAGGAGCCTGTTGGGGCTTGTAGATGAGCCAGAGATATCATTCAGCTCTGGCTAAGGTTCAAACTCACACTCATAGCCTGCAGGCCAACAATTACAGCAAAGTGATCTTAAAAGAGTGAACAGGAGTGAGTCACGTGCTTACATGTTCTCACAAACATTTGGTGTAATTCTCACCCACTTTACCCCTTAACAATGTCTGACCTAAAGCTCATGACTCAGTTACACTGTGTAATGTTGTGAACTTGTTCAGATAAAGCAGATTTATATTCAGCGTCTGTCTCACGTTGTCAATAAAGATGAGTCTTTTGAAACAGTTTTACCACAAACACTTTCATACACCATTCAACACTTGACTCTGTATTGTGTTTGTGAATGCTTTCTGTATCTTATCCACACAGACATATACAAAGTATGAAGGTATTTATTGAGAAAACAAATTAAATCTAATTCAGTACAGTAATTAAATGTCAAAAATACCTTGGAGTGTACCTCTTTCATGCGCTAAAGATGGGTTGAGCCTAATTAAACTAAAACAGCATCATCTGTTGCATTAAAGTGATTAAATGTAATTAAATCCAGCTAATGTATTTGGGGATAATTCTTGTGAACGAAAGAGCTGGGATAAAGTGGCTGCTGGGCTAATAAAGATGTAGAGGTGATGTTTTGTCATCATTTGATCCTGGGTATTTACTATGAAGTACGTGGTATTGATTATCCCTTCCTCTTTAGCTATATTAAAGAAGTATTGTATTATATTCAGTATTTGCTCAACTCTATGGGGTGGTCTCTGTGGGTAAAAGAGCAGCTCAAAACTGCTTTGGAATTGAAGCAGAATGGAAAGTAGTCACGGAGCCAACAAGAGTAAAAGTAGCCTTCAAAACACAGTGGAGCCTTTGGCTTGGCAAAGGAATACATTTGAAACCAAGTCATCAAACTGTATACATGTTGGGAAGTGTGTGAGGTTGGTTAACCAAGTGACATATGAAATGGTTCGTAGTGTAGCTCTAATAGTCTGTGTGAAAGTGTGTGTGCACAGCATATGTGTGAGTTTGGTGGTGGTGATGGATGTGTGGGGGTCTTTGTTATATTTCCAGGTTGTACTGGTTCCATGTTCTTACTAATTGGCTGTTTGTACCTCTTCCTGCAGAATTTGCTCTTTCCCAACCAACCGCAGCAGCCCAGCAGTCGCTTCTCGGTGTCACCCGGCGGAGACCTCACCATCTCATCTGTGCAGCGGGCAGATGCTGGCTATTATATCTGCCAGGCCCTGACTGTTGCAGGCAGTATCCTCGCCAAGGCTCAACTCGAGGTCACAGATGGTGAGGGAAAACTCACACATAACTTATTCCAAACCAGCACACTAACACACACCGTAGCACCACTGCAAATGTGGAGAAGTTGGTGCATAAGAAACAGATATACTTTCAATATGCATGTAAGGGACTTTCAACAAATGCATTTAGACATTTACCGATGCACAAATTCATATTTAATACAGGTTTTTCAATGATATCTGATCATAGTTTTTCATGGTTTAACACACTTCTTGCATGCTGAGTTTATATGTGAATTTGGCCCTTAACCCCTGTGAAACTATAGGTCCACGTCACTATTCTTTTGTTGATGTTATTCTGTGATAGATGTCAGTATGCCCATGACCTTCAGTTGCTGTGTTTTGCAATACTCTCTTTGTTCCTTATTTTTTTATGACACAATTTAATTAACATTTTCCACATTTCCTTTTGGAAAGGAAATAAAGCATTACCCTTGAGTTTGTTCAAGTTTAATGATCAGCGTTTTGTATGAGTGGGCGAGGTGCAAGTATGTGTGTGTGAGGGAGAGAGGGAGGGAGGGAGCTAGAGAAGCAGAAAGAGAGGGGACATGATTGAGTGAGTGACAATGGTTTCCTGTGGAATGAATGATGTGGTCCTGCGAGCTGTGGGAGCATCTAATCTGCTCAGCTACTGTGATGGCAAGATCGAGGGCCATCCATATGTCTGTGGAAGTACCTGCTGGCAGAAGGATTAAAAGCAACATTTTCTTCTGAAGTGAGAATGGTTCCATTGGACAAACTAAATTGGGATGTCCTTCATTTGCCTGAAATAATATATCATCACTTTTTTAAATTGAAATACTCTGGCTTATCAACAGTTAACCATTTCATTCGTTTTTTTTATAAATATGTCCTACAAACAGTATGCTAGTAAAATAGGTGTTGGTCCGACAGAAAAGGATAGAGGAGGAAAGAGTACAAGAGGGCCAGGGTGAGGTCACGGCCACACCTGTCGCAGTCCTTACGTGATTTACTGCCCAGAGCCCAGACAACAGTCTGTGGAGTTCAAGGAGATCTGTAATGAGAAATTCCTGATCCAGAGACCCAAGGCCTTAGTTGAGCCTTGCCTCCCACCCCCCCTGTCACTCCTCCACGCCATCGACACATCCATCAGGCGCATCAAATCCCTAGACTTAGGAATGTCTTATGCTTGTGCACTAGCATCTGTCACTAATCATAACTGACTGTCTTCTGTCAACAGGGAAGGCTTTGGAGGCAAGGTCTTCATTTGAAATATATATATTAACAAACAATAAAAGTTGAGGCTTTATAGAAGCAAAACAAAACACCTTTATCTAGCGTAAATGTTAATAAAAGCAATAGCAGACAGAAACACTTCTACAGCATAGTGTGTCACTGGCAAACAGTAGTTGCTTTGATTCATAGCTTAGTTTCTGATACGCAGTGACCCTCTTAATACTCAAATTGCACCCTTACATAAACATTCCACGGGACTAAAATAATAAGAGAAATATCATTGTTGAAATGGATGTGAAAGCTAAGGGTTGAGCAGAACATAGCAGAAGGGTTTTTCTTGGAAGCACTTCCTTTTGTCAGATGTAGCCTCTTAGATTGGAAATCGGGTTGGAAACGTGGGTGTGATAATGTGTTGAAAGGTTACCGAGGTAGACTGGGTAATTAGCCCCTGCAGGTCTGACATCATTAATCCATACCTTCTAATTAATGTGGCTTCTGTGATGCCAGGGGGACTCCACATTATTCAACTCTAAATATATCAACTGTGCGAGAGCACTAACTCTCTCTGAGATCACCTCTAACTTACCCAATATTTCATTGAGGGAACCCACAGGCTTTTTTTGGCACATTATAACAAATGAATTTGCTCATATAAATGGAATTAATCACAGCATTTGCATTCATCTAAAGTGAAATAAAAACAAATTACAAGGGGATTTTCGTCATTGATTGTTTATTGTTAAAATGTAGATACTTTTCACCTTTCCTTGTGCCCCGTGCTTCACACAATGAAGTATTTATCTGAACCCCACTGAGTCAATAGGCAAGAGTCTCACCACTAAACTTTACCACAAAGTCTAGATTAGTGTATAAAAATAAGGCTAACCAGGCTGTAACTGGAAACTTCTTAGCATCCCTCTGCCACATCAATGGAACTAAAAAAACACTACTTTTCCAAGCTTCCTGGAAATACAGGATACGGTCATTGTTCTGTGGTACAATTACAAGACCTGCAGAGAAAAAAGGATATTTTATGATAGATACCCACATCCACCCCGAGTGAGTTTTATGACCATGCTGTCACTCGTTTTATTTACAGTTAGGGCGCCTGAAAACTGCTTTTATCTGAAATCCTAATGATAATATGCTCACATTTCTGTCTTTGTATCACAGTGCTCACAGACAGGCCGCCACCAATCATCCGCCAAGGCCCGTCCAATCAGACACTTGGTGCGGACAGTGTGGCTCTGTTGAAGTGCCAGGCTTCAGGAGACCCTATCCCCTCCATCAGCTGGCTGAAGGATGGGGTCAGTCTGCTGGGAAAGGATGCCCGCATGTCCCTGCAGGAGCTGGGCAGCCTTCAGATAAAAAACATCAAGGTAAAACATTTCATTGCCCATTTTATTGTGAAACAAATTGACAAATAAATCCCTGCTACTGTACCAATCCTGTATTAAAATAGCTTTATCCAAAACTAGAGCTTAACTATGATTTCAAGCACCAGCTACCTTTTGCTAATTGTTGTCAACAGCCTTGCTTTATGTTATTACTCAATATTTGTATTCAGGTAAAGGCATTTGTAGGTACCTTAATGACTTAAGGAGAGGATAGGCAGCATTGATTTTTTTTAATTCAAATGATTCAATAGTATCACTTTATGGCAGGGCACCTCCAACGGGGCTCAGCTGTGCCGGGTGGGATGGGCTCCAGCTGCAGCATAGAATATATGTATGCACTTATAGATATATACACACATGTGTGCACACATACACGTTGAGAGTAGATTACATTTAAAAGGCCCACATCTTCCTTTCCCCACTCTGAGGCCTCTATGGAATATCTATTACGCTTGACAAAGCTGCCGACCACTGACATGTTATTTAATAAATGGAAGAAAGGCACAGGGACAAAAACCAACAAACATCCAAAGTTCCTAAGAGGGATGGAGAGACACGCCAGCTGTCATCGGTCCAGGGGGTTCCAGCAGCCCACCCTAAATTAATTAGCCTGGCTTTGTTGTGGTCGGCAGGACAGTGGGGAAATCAGGAGGGGGAGTAGAAAAGTGATGGAAGGGTGGTGAGTAGAAAATGGAATTCATTAGGAAATTAGCGTCAGCACTTTGAGGCACTCTCAAATGACACACAATTTGGCCAGCACGAGGCTAGCTCATGAAGTCGCCCCATCACTTTTCATTGTTTCAGCGATTGCAAGATAACATGCATTCATTGCTAGTGCTCTCAGGACGTGTGAAATGAAATGGCACTAAAAGGGTTATTAGTAGTGCCATGAAGTGCTGTGTGCTGATGCTGTTAGTGCGTGTGTTTGTTTTTTATTCATATATACATGTGTATCCTACTGTTTAGCTTTCAGACTCTGGAATCTACACATGTGTGGCCACTAGCTCCAGCGGGGAAACATCATGGAGTGCTTACCTGGAAGTCAAAGGTACAAGATGGCGTCATTATTCCATGTATTTAATATACAGGAAAAAAAACGTGTTTTGGAATATGTCAGCTATGTTTATCGTTAGATAATTGGCCTTTTCTGTATTATTCTCTCCATTTAGAAGCAGGAGGAGTGATAGTCATGAAAACCCATGATGAGAAGGAGCTTCCAGGTCCACCATCTAAGCCTCAGGTCACTGATGTGACTAAGAACAGCGTGTCCTTGTCCTGGCAGCCTGGGATGGCAGGAGCATCACCTGTCTCCTCTTTTGTCATTGAGGCATTCAGGTTTGTTTTATGAGTAACATGAAACACCTCACTCACTTGTAAATACCCTCAGTATGAAATGGTATGCAGGTTGAATTATATTTTGTCATGTAAAATACAACTAAAATATTAATATGGAACCACATGTTCCTCTTCCATTGCAGTCAATCGGTGAGCAACAGCTGGCAAACAGTAGCAGACCATGTCAAAACAAACCAGTATACTGTGAAAGGTCTCCGACCCAACACCATCTACCTGTTCATGGTCCGAGCAGTCAACACCCAGGGCCTGAGTGATCCGAGCCCCATGTCTGAACCTGTCAGAACACAAGGTACTTTACATAACATCAGCATGAAATGAATGCTCAGTGTTTACTGCATATATTTATATAAGAACCATAATCACTTGAATTAGTGGAATATGATTCTTGTCTTTAGCTGAGTATAATTTCTGTTTCTACTGATAGGGGAAGGTCAAGTGTGCTCTGCTTCAAAGTGTGATACTTATCAACCCCTCTCAGCAATCTGCAGTGAATTGCTTTACTCAAACACTGCAGAGAACTTTCCAGAGGTCAAATTCTCCATCTCAGCCCATCTCATTAAGGCTACACTTTAGCAATTATGTAGAATAAGCATCTCTTCTTTTGGAAGGCCTAACTGAGTTTGTCTATCCCTGCTATGTTAATGATCATAACTGGAGAAAATGACTGCCTCCAAATCGAGAGAAGATTTGATTACGATGCTGGACAGACCACGGTCTCCAGATTACACTGATATGATAAGTCCCTGGCAAAAAAAGAAGAAGAAAATAACAACATTTGGCCAAGCTCTATCAAATTCAAGCCAAGAAAATAGTAGTCTATTTGAATTGCAGCACATCCTTGGTGTGCTGAGGTGAAGATTTTGAGATGATATAGAAATGAGTTGACGATGGCATGCATTGATGACACAATGGTTTTTCACTTCTTTTTCACTGTTTGTGGCCTGTCTTGACCTTGGAATGTAGCCTGTGATTCATGACCATGCTGGTTTGTCTGAATTAAGTTTTTTGAAATCATAATTTCTGAGTATTTGTATTCCCTTTTAGTAAATAACTCAAAATGTGCCTCGCTTTTACCACACTCACAATCTCATACAATGGAGTTTGTATTGCTTATAACTAGAAACATGTGCAAAACGGGAAATGAGCTGGAAAATAGTGTCATAGTGTCCATTCATGTCCCATCCAATATGTCTGGCTCTGCTCACTCGCAGTTAATTTGTTGATGCGGTTGTTCAGTCAGGCCCCAGTAAGTGTAGACAAGTCACACAACTGAAGAACTCAAGTCTGCTTTATTTTCTACAAACCAGACAGCAGCTTTATTATTTCAAATAAAGTCATGATCACCAAGTGTATTATTCTGTGTTGAAACCGATTGGTCTATTCAGTCACTCTTTTTTTACCAGTCCACCTCTGATGGTGATGAAGCTAGAAACTAGTAGAGGAGAGTGGAAAACATTGGTATTTTCCTTTCTTTTTCTCATTTTCATTTCTTTCTCTCATAGATATAAGTCCTCCTGCTCAGGGTGTCGACCACAGACATGTGCAGAAGGAGCTTGGTGAGGTCATAGTTCGGCTGCACAACCCGGTTGTACTGAGTCCCACATCCATTCAGGTCACATGGACGGTAAGTGGAGCTTTTCTTTTTGCATATAGAATACAATTTACTCTTCACTTTTAGTAAATACATAATTTGTTCAGCTTTACATTTTGCACTAGCAGAACTTTGAATTACATTTTCTTCCTATCAGACCAGTTTTGTGAACCTGTCTGCATTCTTCTTTTCATGTTTGATGGTGTAAATTCCAGTCATAAAGCCAAGTTTATATTTTAGGATCCCCTTTGAAGACAAAAAAGTGTACCTCGAGGCTACCATTTCTTATGTCAGGACATTTCAGTCTGGTTGTTTCCTTCGACTGCAGCTTTGAAAACTGTAATTTGTGACTTAAAGTAAATGAACATCAAATTGCTGAAAAATACTTTCTCTTAACCACATTGCACATCAAAAGAGATGTCAGAGACATCTGGTTGTTCATCAATCTTCCGTTTGTCTTCAGCTGCTTCCCTTGAAAACAAAGGCCTTGCATGGATAGCATCTGATTGAAATTAATGTTTGTGAATACACATTTTCCTGTTTTCCTACCGTCAGGAGATGATGCATTAATCTTCACTCACTCATAAATACAAACAAAACAAACATACATCTGCTCTTTCACCATCATATGCACATGTTTTGTGGTGTTTGCCTCACAACATGAATCAAACTATTACCTTAAACAAGGCAGTTACGGCATCTGCTAAAATTGTTTTTATTTCATTGTATGCTAATGAGGTAAAAAGGCTATTTATATTATTCAAAGCTGAGTTGGTCTTACAATGTGTTCATTTATTTTCCTCATGGGGCTATGAATCACTCAGTTGCAGGTATGTACAGTATACACCTATCACATAGTGGCATAGGGTGCCTGTTTCCATTTCCAAATGAACCACATTAGCTGTTTTCCTGGTGACATGTTTATTGACCCCTGTAATAAGTCTTACCCCACGACTTGTTAGCAAATGTAATACTAAAGCATTGCTTTATGATTGTAGTGTACAATCGACAAAAAACATGCTACCTAATCAATCAGGGGCCAGTAAACAGAGAGGCCACTCTCAGAGAGCTTTTATATTCCCAAATCATTCCATTTATAAAAGTCACGCACCAAGCAGGGGATCCATTTTGCTGATTTACTCTGGCTACACTTGCGAAAAACAGCTGCTTAATATCCCACTTGAAAGCCGTGCTCACTTCTTCTACTGTTAACAAGCCATTACAAAGAGTTATGCACCCGCACCTCCTCCGCATAAATTAAGCATTTTCTGTCTAGCTAAATGGGTCCAAGTTTTAAGGGAGGGTCCTTTGTGGGTTGCAAGGGGCTATCAGGTTTCCAGTGTCTCCATCTTTTCTATGGGACAGATCTGCTGTTATCACCACTGCTGTGTGTGCCCCTCATGTCCCCAAGGTATCTGTGTATGGTGCTGCATAAACATCCTCAGCCTCAGAGCCCAACTAAAATGTGATGGGACTTGCTTTCCTGTGTCACTAGTTAGAATTTATAATGCTTATGGGACATGTGTAAGTCCTTTAAGGTGGCATTAAAGAAAGTATTTTAATAGACGAGGGAACACTTTGGGCTGGGAGCTGGGTGTATGAGGTAATGTCAGTGTTAATTGAGCTAATTGTGTCAACGCTGTTGATAAAGGGCCTATTAAACAAGCAACAGCCTCTAAACTGTCACAAATGCAATCTTGTGAGAAAGAGATACATGCCTGGAAAACATCTTTTTTTTATTATCTAGTGGCTGGCCCAAGATTGCATCTACCAATTTCCTCTGAACGGTTCTTTTTGAACTGGAATACAACATTCATCTTGTCATCATTCACTTTCTAAGGTGGATCGCCAGTCCCAGTTCATTCAGGGTTACAGAGTCCTGTACAGGCAGACCTCAGGACTACCTTCCCCTGGACCCTGGCAGATGCAGGAAGTGAAGGTCCCTTCTGAGCGCAGCGTTGTCCTCTCTGGACTCAAGAAGGGCATTGTGTATGAGATCAAGGTCCGGCCTTATTTCAATGAGTTTCAAGGCATGGACAGTGAATCCAGAACAGCGCGGACGACTGAAGAAGGTATGAAGAAAAAATGCTGAATATTTTTACATTATATTGGGAGCAAAACAACAAAGTGTACACAAATGTGGAATGACTGTAGAAACATGACCCTGTAGGCTCCTTTCATGTTGGTTTTTGTCATAGTATCACAGGCAGCACTGCCCCTCTTTTTTAAAACTGACTATTGAGGGTGTATGTGAATGCATGTGTGTGTGTCTGCATGTTTGTGGCTGTCGGTCTGACCTTCCTGCTGTGCTTTTTTTGTGTATGATTGGTGGTGTTGCTGCCAAACTTCTTCTAATCCATCACCCAGCAGCCACAGGCCTGAGCTGTGATTGGAGACAACAAACACTTCCTTCTGCGAAGATGATCTGTCGCCCAAAGCATGATACATACAGGCTCTGACAAGGCCACAAAGCAGCGTGGCACAATATCACACACAAACACACACACACACAGGTCTGTGTTTGAATGAATTCACTATTTTGACCTATGCCAAAGCCGAAATGCATCCAACAGCACTGAACACGCCCTGCTTCATCCTTCGAGTCTAATAACTGAATTTAAACTATTATGTGATCTGAAATAAATAAACACAGGACATTCGCACAAAAGCACAAAGAGACAAATACAGATTCCATATACTGAAGACAAAGCCCATCTTGCCACAACATATTTAGCCCTGCATGTATAAGAGACAGTTCACATCCTGTCCATGTGACAGGCCCATTTATTTTCCCTTTCTCAAAGGGACAGTATCTCCTGTGGCCAGCCAGTGCACGCACTGTTGTAGTGGAACACGTTACAGCTGTCCCAGACACACACAAACAGAAAACGCATACATGCCAGCACACCGCCTCTCCCGAAGCCCTCCAGAACCTGCATGTTCCAGCTATTACCAATGCTGATAATGCTCCCTGCTTCTGCTCTATCTGCATCCCAGTCCCTCAGAGAGCCCAACCACTTTCTATTTCTGTCACAACCCCGCTGCCCTCCCTGGTCATAGATGATATACTGTCAAACACACAGCTCTAGGCTCCTCAGAGACCCTGGGACTTCTAAGAAGGGCAGTTAGATGGATAGTGAAGTCTTGGTCAGAGGGTGATTAAAACGTAGGTTGTCCATTAGCTAATACAATTAAATAATCCCCAGAGCAGGTACGGACGGATGCAGCGTTACAGTATGCTCAGCGCTTCAATTCTTTGTCCATCTTTCTACACTCCCTCCTCCTTTTTCACAAATTCTCTCGCTCTCCATCTGGACAGTCATCTCATAGCTGATAAATATACTCTGGTCGCTTGGTTAATGATTCTCACAAAGGAGGCCCATCTTTTATGCAAAACTATGCTTATTTATGGGGAAAGAATACAGTGATGTTGTTGTAAATGTTCATTTATAGCAGACACATTTTTTGACAAATATCTTTGCGGGAGGTCCACTGGTGTCCTCCCACACATCCTACCGTTTTCCATATCATTATTGGTTTTTAATATGATATGTTTATATTACTTCATAATTCAACACAGCACCCTGCGTGTGTGAGAGACGGGGGGTCACATTCCTGCCTGCCATACATCACTCTGCTAATGGCTCTATTAGGACAGCCTCTGGGGCCTCTATTGAAAAATGTGTATTGTTTAGCACAAATATGCATGATAATAAGCTGTTAAATCATTCATAACATTAACTTTGAACGACATTGCCTCTGATTGCTGCCACGCACCAATCCAGCACTTTGTCACCTGGATGTAATGCAGCGTTGGAGAGCCCTAAGCAGGATGGTTGATCAGATGCTCCCTTGGTAGATAGTTTCTAATCTGGCCAAGGTGTTGGGTTCATCATTGGACCCATTCATCTTCCGCGATGCCAGGGCCTTCTGTCTCTCTGGGGGCCGGTGTGGCCAATCGTGCTGAGGGATGAGCACAGATTTACAGGGTGACACGTGCCATTTTGGATGGAGGCGAGGTGAGGGAGAGGCAGCCCAGGAGTAATTGACCTGTCAGTATTCTGCCGTGGTGCCGCTCCCCTGCCAGCCACTGCGGAAATGAGAAAACATTATTTTTAAAGCGTTATTTCCAGCTGGACCGACTGTTATTTATTTTTTCCTGTGTTACACCTTGTGGGGTCAAAAGATTGTAGCCATCAGAATAACAACAGAGTGAGGTTTATGAAAGCGTGGACTTGTCTTGTTTGTGTCTGCCTGTGGATAAAGCCAATTCATTTAGATGTGCCTCGCTCTGAAGCTTCCCTCTGATCCTTACCTACTGGCTTTAGTTTCATCTGGTTGATCGATGGAACCAGTCAATATGTTTACTGAGACTTTGCTTCCTTCCCCTAAAATGTATTTTTTTTTTCATATTTCCTTCTCGTCCAAGCTTCATCCTTTAAGCTCATTGACCCGCATGCCGCCCTGCTCATTCAGTGCCAAAGTCTTAGCTTGACTGAGAGCACTTGCCTGACTGTGCCAGTCCGTCATTCCACAAATCAATACCGGTATTGTCTGAAAAAAATCCACCAGGCTGGAGCAGAGGATGAGATATTAAATCATAGTGAAACGTTAAAGATAGGCTATATTCATGTCAGACCTGCCCTGGTCTTAATGTAAATCCCCCTCTAATGAGACATCTTGACAGCCTCCAGCCACCTGTGAAATCCCAGAACAGAAACATTCTTTGGAAAAGTGTGTATGTGTGTGAGTCTGGTTTTATGAACGTGCTTTTCTACGTATATATGTACGAGCTCCTGTTCCATGCAAATGTACACTACTGCTGTGCATCCCACTTTTCCTACATACTCTTGTTCTGCCTGGGCACCATCATAGTGCATTTGATTGTTGACCTCTTTATTTTGTTTGCCCTTTTTCAGCTCCCAGTGCCCCTCCTCAGCAGGTTACAGTCCTGACCGTGGGAAGCCAGAACAGCACTTCCATTAGCATCTCGTGGGACCCCCCTCCATCAGACCATCAGAATGGCATCATCCAAGAGTACAAGGTTTGTCTCAGCGAGTCAGCTTGGATTCTCCTTTAACTGATACAAGGACAAATGGAATCAACTGTCTGTCTTTTTCCCCCTTCTCTTCTTTAGATCTGGTGTCTAGGGAATGAGACACGTTTCCATGTAAATAAGACCGTGGACGCAGCCATTCGCTCAGTGGTGGTTGGCGGGATGCAAGTTGGAGTGGTGTACCGGGTAGAGGTGGCTGCAAGCACAAGCGCTGGGGTTGGAGTGAAGAGTGAAGCTCAGTCTATCAGCATCGGTAAGAACGATTGATAAAAAGCATTTTCAACTTTTCAACATCCAAGTTTTTCCCCTACGTCAACATCAGTGTTCGCAAAAAAAATCAAATTGGTCGATTTCAGCTAAATAAAATATTGTGAAATTCTAGAAATTCCCATATGGAAAATATTGTTAAAATACCACTTTTTTGATATGTGGCCTGACCAAAAATGATTTATGTGGAGCTGAGGCAGATTGTGCCTGATTTGACCCATAACTGATGGCTTGGCCTGTAGCATGTTCTTATTTCCCCAGTGTCACTCACATAATCCATCTCCGAGAGCCGAGCCTGAAGCTTGGATTTATATTATCTTGTGTGTTGGCGTGTCTGGATGCGCGAATGAGTGTGCGTTCATGTGGTTGCACAGTTATATAAAGTTGACGAGCATTCGTGCAGCTTTGCATGCATGCGCACATGATATGTAGGTTTCATGAGTGTTTATCATTTCCTGTCAGTGTGTTGGAACATTTGTTTTTGCTCTCAGTCTTATCACGCTCCGAGAAATAGTGTCAAGCACAGCAGTCACGTTGAGCTGCAATTGGAGATCAATAAATACCGGGATCCTCTTATTTCACACGGTGTGTTTTACCGACAATGGAGTGAATTAGGGGCTGAGCTAAGCAAGCAACCTGTTCACCTTGGGGTTTGTTATAAGCTTTTAGGCTTTGTCTTTTTCATTCAAAGCATTATATTTCACTGCACATCCTTTAGATCTGTGTCCTGCTCCCTTCAACAATATCTCAGCTAAAATCATCCAACCTACTTTCTTTGAGCTGACTCTTGCCCTTACCCTGCCTTGATGTATCGTTGGCTGTTATTTCTGCTCAGTTAAAATCTAAACATGTTTTATGCCATCGGTATTGCAGGGTTGGATGTGATAATTAGAACCTAAACCAGCAAAACAAGCACATCAGTATGGCTATGTTCTGTTTCTCTCTAGTAGCTATCCACTTAGCATCCCATTAACATTGCTTATCCTTGTGCCCTCAGGTAAAGAATTCCGGGACGTCATTATACATGGAAACCGGAACAACAGCATCACAGAACAGATCACTGATGTGGTGAAACAACCTGCCTTTATTGCTGGTATTGGAGGAGCCTGCTGGGTCATCCTCATGGGATTCAGCATCTGGCTGTACTGGAGGAGAAAGAAGAGGAAGGGTCTGAGCAACTACGCAGGTGAGACTGACATTACGCTCTTATTATATCCCCATCAAACAATGGACTACTCTTCTCTCATTTATGTTTTCTTTCAAAGATGATTCTACTCGATCATCACTCTGTCTTAATGAGTTCAGTTTTGCTAAAACATTAAAGCAGCTGCTAGCAGTATGGTTGGAATTGCTACGGTTTAAAAGCTCAACAAGGAGACAGATGTCGGTGTGAATCATTTCCAGAGGGCTATAGTTTTTTCCACAAATCCACCCACGGTGTTGGTTCATAGCCCAGGGTGGTCGAGCTGAGTGGGCTGACTGGACTCTCTGCTGGTCACTGGAGCTGGAGTTTGTCCAGCTCTCTTCCCACACACAGACCCCGACGTCTTACTGACTGACCCCCAGTCAATACTAGCAACCACTTAGTCCACATGCACCGCCAAGGGCACAGTATTTAATTAGAGAGCAGAACATGGTAATGAACTGATACATAATGTTCTAGGCAGTGCAACCGAATATGTTAACATCCTGCCTCAAAACTAGCAGAAATCAAGAGAAAAACACATTTGTTTTGCCACTTTCTCTTATCATTTCAAGCCATAAAGACTATTCCGATTGGCAGTCTATAGAAGCTGTTTTGTTTGTTCTTCATTTCTGTTTGTTGCATTTATGTGTTTGTGTGTTGTCTTTGGTTTGTGCCACCGTCTCTGCACCTTTGAGCTGGTTGCTTTCCTGGCTGTCGTTCTGCACACTGGGTGCTAATGTGGTCTTACATTCTGTGACCCTCAGCATCTCTTGGCTTGACCCGGTCCCCAGTGAGCAGATACCCCCTAAAGCTCCGCTTATTTCTGCAGGCTTTTAACACACACCTTCTCTGTCTTCTTGTTTTGCAGTTCAGTCCTTCACCTTCACCCCTGCAGGTACTGTTCATTTGTCCCGCCTCCTCACCTCCCCTCAACGCAGATTCATCTCCTGCCCGCTTATAGTCTATATGCTTGGATTGTGAGACTCGTGGTCATGGCTAAATGGAAATCTAAACTTGATAACCATGAAGGCGTTTTATACAACCAGACAAGCACATTTACAAGTCAAATACATCTAGATTTTCTACTAGCCATGACCAGAGGCCTGCAAACTGGCACCTTTATCCCTGCCAAACGTACAGCCTTATTTATCTATTGTGTTGTATTTGTGTTTTTGTCAGTTGTGGACTCTGAAGTATCATCCTGTCTCTTGTGTTTCTTTTTTTGTCTTGTGGTCAAAGGGTGACACTGCCCATTTGTTCTCTTCCTCCAATAACCTATTCATCTTTCTTTTTTTTCTAAGACTTGGATCGTGTTGTAACTTGTATTTATTCTTCTCCTTTTGTGTCATTTAGGCAGCTGAGTGGTATATTTGATTTGTTCCCCCCTTTCCTTTTGTCTATTTTTGTGCCAATTGTTTGTTTCGAGTGGCACCCTTCAGTGTTAAAATCATCCATTGACTGTCTGTGGATTGAGTTGACTGACAGCCTGTCTAAGACTAAACTAAATAAAAGGATTTGTCTGCCTAGAGGCCTTTCTAATGTATAGTATCAGTGTTGCTGATAGGCGTGGTGCAATGAGTCAGGGGTCAGCAAATTGCCCTTCCCTCTGTTTTCTGGATTAACAGACAAACGTAACTAACACATTTTTTTTGGTAAAGCATATACGTGTTCCCTGTTGAGCCTACGGCGAAAAAACCCATTTCACTCTGGCCTTTCCTCAGCAGCTGTGGTAACAGATTATACATTAATATATTAGTGAAACTTGTCTGGTTAAAAAAATGGAGGCACACCTCCGAGAAGCAAGAGAGGAAGCAGGTAATTACACTAAAAGAGTTTAGAGTGGCAGGCACAAAACAAGGTCAAATATCGCAGAGATTATAGAGTTAGAGTGAGGTGATATTTGGAACCTGAGCCAGCGTGCGGCTGAAGAGTCTTGCAGCACTGCTCTTCTCTGTATTGACAATTAGTTTATGTATCTAGAGTGTCCTGTCTCAGCCTCCTAAAGCTGTCAGTACAGGAAAGGTAAATCAACACACTGTTGAGGCGCACGTCCAGCAGGAAGGAGATTTGATGGAATTGTTATACGCTGATTATGACCACCCCCCCGTAATGCTTATTAAAGGGGATTAATCTGTATTCATATTGGAGAAAGTGCTTATCTGGAAGACGGAGGCGAGAAGCACAGCTATGCCGCCGTGTCACTCTGGCTAACATAAAAGTATTGCACAGCAGCCCAGAAATGTGCCTGAGCACAGATATGGACTTCAGAGGCCTCCCCGCTGCACAGCCTCCCCTCGCCCCCACCTCCTTCTCCTGTCAGTCCTCTCTGAAACCACAGAGGATTCTCTAATGCAAGTTTGTTGGTGCTGGAACAAAGAGAAATGGCTTTTGCTATGACTGAATAATGGATGCAAACTCTGTCTCGAGCTGTTAAAGCTATTTTTATTCAGGCACTCTTCCAATGTTGGTTTTATCTGAGTAAAAGCTTTGTTAGCAGTACATTTTTGTAATTCCACTTGCTGGTATTCAGCTGCTTAAAGCTTCATGCAGTAAATCCACATCAACTGTTATGGCATGCATACTAGACACATTTTTTAATATGGGTGTCTCTTGTTTGACATCCAAAACATTTGTTCATGAGAGAGAAAGTAGGATTAAACAAGCTTAAGGTCATGTTGATGCATTAAAATACTTATTTAGCAGCCACTGTAAAAAATATTGTAATAGCTTCCTCTCCCTGTCATGTGTGACGTCAGCCACAGAAAAGCCCCCTCTTTTGCCCATGCCTAGGCTTGTTGTGGAATCAACGTGAATGAAACAGAAAAGAGAGGCGGAATGTTCAGCCCCCTTCTCTCTTTAATCTACATCTGTGGAACAAATGAGCCAAATTACTAACAGCGCTCCCTCTCTCTGTTCAGTAAACCAGTTCTGTTTTTCCCTCCTCTCTTTCCCCCCCACATGAGTATGAGGTGATTTCCAAAACTCTTGCTGCTTTCCCGTGTTTCCTGTGATCCATTGAAGTTCTTACATGCTTAGAACTCGCGATGCTGCTTTGTCATCATGGTGGTTGAACAGAGATGAAATGGATCCTTCACAGCCGTCTCTCACTTTGAGCCATGGAGTTTTACTAGCCGCTGACAGAGAGCGGGCCTTGTTATCTATAGATCACTGTAATAGAACAGGCCACATGCATGGCTTGTGGGGAGCCCTGCAAGCCCAAGGATCAGTAACTCAGCCTCCATGCTTGCAGATAGAAAACCCAACGTGATTAATGAGCCCTCCGCCTGTTCTAATCATTTTTTGGCTGAGATTTAATCACAAATCTGATAATAACTCAGCAGCAAAATAAGAAAGATGAAATGAGATTTGCTTCTCATCAGGCATCTTGTCCTTGAGGAGCACATGACGTCTCTACTTATGCAGAGCAAAGCAATATGCAATTCTCATCATTGCACTTTTTTTTTTTTTTTTCATGAAAGGCATCGGACGCAGAAGGATCCCTTAGTGAATCCATCAACTATCTAGCTGTATTTAAAAAAGAACACATTAATACATTTCTGTTGAAGGACAAACTGGACCACACTGAAAAGAAACTATCTCATCTTGATCATGGGAATGAATCCTGGTTGATTGCTATGTATTATACAATAAATAATTAATGTTTGGCTTTGTTTTTTTTCCCTCTTTTCTTCTTTCTTTTCTGATTTTAGTGACTTTCCAGAGAGTCGATGGTGGTCTGATGAGCAATGGAAAGTGAGTGTCCCTTCAGAGTCTTAACAACCACAATCAGTATTTGAATGCAATATATACAAATTCCCATTATTATTTCTTTCCTGAGCTCTACACAATATTTCCTCACGGATCATGTGTTTAGTCCAAAGCATGTTTTATTTGACTTTACTCTGATAAATGACTGATTCATTGATATATATCCAATACCTGTTTGTATGCCTGCCATGCAAACCTGCGTGCAAATATACATTTCTACCACATCTCCCTTTCATGCATCGATAGATGGACTCATAAATCTCTTCAGCAAAATTAACAGAAACAATTTAAGCAGAGAGTGCTTTTATTTTGTCATTTATCTTCTGCTGCTAGCTACCGGCATCCCAGAAGCCCTCTGGAGTGATAAATTTGCCTGTCACCTTGCGTGGGCGGCTTGGATCTGAGCACATGTAATAATGTAAAAATAATTACCCAGGGGAGAGGTGTGTGGAGGTACCCCGCTTGCACCCCCTTACAGCCTGCTCCATTTCACTGTGTGTTAGTGCGAGAGAGAGGGGCTACAGAGAATAGAGCACATCTCAATGACACCAGTTACTGAGCTTTTTTGAGTACTCAAGAGACTCCCTTGAGATTTCCAGGCTTCTGTCTATCTACTGCTTATCACACCTGACTAGGTAAAGCCTCCAGATCTCAAACACTCGCGGATAGATTGCCAACTGAGTCTGACCCTGCGCGTGTCTTGGCTTTTTGAGAGTGTTCTGCAGTCTGATTGCAGAATGTTATGTCTATGCTTTTTCTCTTACTGTGTGTATGACTGGAGTCCACAATGAACAACTTTGCCTATATTGTTCTGTGAGCTGCCAGCATGCTCTCAATCAATTAGCCACGCCACTTGCCATGCCTTTTCTCATCTACTTTCTGCTGCAGTGTTTTCCCTTCAATTTTCCACTTAAGTGGTTCTGGTTCTCATTTCGTTGAATAGAATTTGAAATGTCTGTTTTTGTGGCGCTCTGTATTTGTCATATCTTTAGTCAGTTTCAGCGATTGCCAACGTTTTCACAGCACTGGAATAACACTCAGTCTGGAACTATAACACGAGCCTCTGATCCGTTAGTCACTCTAGTGCCATCAAATCCCAGATGTTGCCAGTTGCCCATCTGCCCTGAGAGTGAGAATGTGTAGCACAGTATCAGAGGAAAATGTGTTCATTTGTTACATGAGATGTTTATTGCATTAATTAGACAATAGCAAATGAAGCCGCGTCTGATTTCAGTTTCTCATTGGCTCCTGCCAAATTGCCCTGACTGAACAATTACATTTAATCGATCACAAAATAAATGATTCATGGAAGATGAATAGGCTGCAGATTGGTAGACCTGGACGGCTTGACTTTGGCTGCTCAATTGAAATTGATAAAAGCCGATAAAGGCTCATTCCTTATCCCCGTGCCAATAGGGAGATGCTAATGAGAGGTATAAATAACGTCCTACCACGGCACTGATCAATGTTTTAGCAAAGCAGAGCCCCCCTTATTGGCAGGGAAAATGGGCTGAGCATCGCAGCGAACAGGTCTGACTAAAACTGTTGTTATGGAGATTCCTTTACATCTCAGGATCTGAATGCTAAGTAACAGCATGATCTCTGAGAGTTCATCCAAAAAGTAATCAGTGTTTCTCATTGGGCTAAGTGTTAGCTAATGTCTAGACTTTTAATCCACATTCCATTCACTAGTCCGTATGACCATAAACGCCTGATTTATGAAGTTGCTTTGGAATTAATATCTCTCACTTGGCTTATTTATGGGAAGCTCAGTGTCAGGCATCCTCGGCAGTATTTATGGTTTCCAACCCATCGCAAGTAACTGGAATGTCTAATAGGAAGAGGAAACGCTCTAAATCAAATTTTATCTGCCAAGGTTGCCATCCATCTTGGGTTGGGCAGAGATTAAAAGTTAGGTGTTGTATGACACAGCATACATCCCCCATCCACTCCCCATTACACACATCCGTGCACACACACACTCACACACACCCTTTATAAATATAAATACCCAGTAGTAATCAGTCATATTGTAAATATCCTAAACAGAAATAAGGCAGCCTCCTTGTCTCTCTCTGTGGTTCGGGGGTGGGTTAAGGGGATAACTCGCGTTGAGACAAGACAAAGACATGGTCTTCTACTTTAGAAGGTTTTCATTTGTGTTTTTGTATATCCCTTTTTTCCAGCTGTTTGGAATTTATAATATGAAAGATGCTGAGCTTTTGAAGATGTGGAGGATAGAAGATAGAGGAGCTGGATGTATAAGGGGGAAATAAAGGGAAATAGGGTTAGGGAAAGATGTTAAGGCGAGAGAGAGTGATGGCAGTGGGGAAACGTGGTAGCAAGAAACAGAGGTAGAAGGACAGGAAGAGATGTATTACCCTATAAAAGTGCATGTGTCTGATGCACAGCCATCAATTTGAATGACTTGTCTCCCCCGAGGGCCTGTTTTGGCATTCAGGAACCACAGCGAGGGCTTGCCAGGGCTGCAGTTCATTTGGACTCCCCCTTCTTCTCATTAGAACCTGTGGCTGAGGGAAAAACTGACTGCAGCGCGCCCATTACCTGCACTTGTCCTTAGGGCTTGACTCTCTCCCAGTCCCCCAGAGCCAACACGTCACCCTGTTGGAGCCCCATCAGGCAGCCAGGCTGCTAACTACTTTGCTCTGCAGCTCCTCAGAGTGCACATGTGTATCTGTAGTCTGCTACATACAGCACTGCCGGGCACTGACAGCGGGGTGTGCTGTGATTCTGTGGAGGCAAGGCCATCAGCTTCAACACATGTAGTGCTGCTCTGACCGTTGTGTGATTTCTCACGGGGAAATGAATAAAAGAGACAGCAAAACTCCTTTGATATTTTTGTTGGAAGTATTTGGCTGCTTAAAATGTAAAATTCAATCATACATTGTTACATTTCTGTTACATGTCGATAATGTCAATGGATAGTAAATGAAAAAAAATAGGTTATGATGTTTCAAGGACTTGACACATAGACAAAGACATTTAACCTAATCTCTCATTCTCATTGAGCTCCATCTGTGTTATCCATGGTAACGAGCCTCAGACGTGATTGTACAGTAAAGTGGTCCTAATGGCCTCTCAGCAGTCACCCATGACAGGTTAAAGTCTTAATGACTGCTTTTTATGGTTCTCACCCCCTCAGGAGGGACACAACACCTGTTAAATGGCACTGCCCTCTACCATATGCAGGCACCCCACAAGTGGGTCGGGTGCACCATGGTGGGGATAGGGACGAGTTTTGAGGTCTCATCAAATAAGATTTAGACTGTCTGGACATCACCACGAGGGGTTAATGGGAAAACACAGCAGAACGTACAAGATATTAATGAATAAGGAAATGTACGTGTGTGTATCAGCGTGCACTGCTGCACGTGTGTGCTGAGAGCAAATACATGCATTAGTGTCTCCACAGTGGGCTTTTGCATTGATAACTCAGGGAATGTGACAAAGACACAGCAGGAGAAACAGAGAAATAAAGGGCTGTGTTTGCCTGAAGGAATTCCAACTTTGTGAGACGAAATGTCTCCGTACAGTATTTCTTCCTATCACAGAAGTGTTTCATTAGCTTCAGAGGCTTATGGCAAGCTTATCTCACACAAACACACATTGTCGTGCAGAGAATAACATTTAAATATATGTTTTTTTGTTGTTGTCTGCATATTGCCTCGCTGTTGATTGCTGTCATGTTTTGGTTGTTTAATTTGGGAATCCCGTAACATAATGCAGAAATAAACCACGCACGATAAGTAATGAGGGATGTTTTTTTGTACTAAAAGCCCTCATATTATAGTAATTTCACAGCTTAATTTTAATCTAGTCTTTTACCCTCTGTTTCTGCCTAGCCGGCCGGGCTTGCTAAATTCCAGTGACCCAGGTTACCCCTGGTTAGCGGACTCTTGGCCTGCCACCAGCCTGCCTGTCAACAGCAGCTCCGGGGGACCCAATGACCTGAGTAACTTTGGCCGAGGAGGTAAGTGCCCCGATGCTTCCCAAGGTGCTCTGATAAAAAGACTTTAGGAGATGAAAGATGATGGCCTGCCTTCCATTCTGTTCTACCTGAGCTCCTGTTCTTCATCATGTATCCAAGATGTATACGTATGCATATCACACGTGTGCCTGGGTATATATTTATATATCACATCAGAGGACAGCTAGAGCATTAACAGCAGGCCTCCCCTGTCACCAGGCTGAGTAATGGCAAACAGTCCAGCCTGGTGTCATAGCCCATACCTCAGAGCGAGGGAATGTGCGGGGAGAGACGGCAGAGGAGCAGGGGGTGGGCGGGTGTTTGAAAGGATGGTCTTGAGCAGCCAGTCGTGAAGGACAGGCGCAGCTTGACTGGCGCAGATGCGGACACTTCCGCCATGGCTCTACATCATCTCCCCTTCACTGGGCATGCAAACCATGCGCCATGAGGAGAGTCTGCTCTCCAAAGCTCTCTCTCCCTCCCTCCCTTCCTCTGTCATCACACACACATGCAGAGCCGCAGCATAATCCCCCGTGTTTATGAACAGAGAAAGGAAGCACGTGAAATATCCACATCTAACTGGAATTCTATTGTTTGTTTTGATGAAATAAACCTGTTACGTGCAGTTTGTATCATGTGAGCTGACCTAAAAGCACAAAGACCCAGACTGTAATTCCATAACACACCGGAACCATGTGCACTTGAATCTCATGTCACGACATTGCTAACCCTCTTCTATTTATCAGCAAATAAATATTTATTGAATTACTCCAGGGTTACAGGTGAGCTTAAAAATTTTTTTTTATGACAGCTATCGCATAACCCACCTGACACACACACTATTTCTCTTTTCAGATCTTCCCACTGGGCAAGGAGATAAGAGTGGCACCATGCTCTCTGATGGAGCCATCTACAGCAGCATAGACTTCACCACCAAAGCCAACTACAACAGCCCTGGCCAAACATCCCAGGCCACTCCCTATGCCACCAGCCAGATTCTCCACTCCAGCAGCATCCACGAGCTGGCGGTGGACCTGCCCGAGGCCCAGTGGAAGGCCTCCCTCCAGGCCAAGCAGGAGATGGCTAACCTGGGGTACGCCCTGCCTGACAAGAACTCCTGCAACAACAGTAAGCTACACTGCGGAAATGATGTGTTCACAGCCATCTCGGGGATGTCGTTATCTAGAGATGGTTCTTATTCTATTACATCAAAAACAACATGATTTAACAGGTTAAAAGCCACACATTTTAACAAGAAGACCATTTGGAGTTTAAACTTATCCATCAAAGTCTCTGTAACCTTTCTAAACAAACTGTGGCTCAGGGAGTTTGTCTTACAAAATTGTAATTTTCCCCATCAGCCATCATCTTGGTTTCTTTCCAAGGTTGAATAAACATCTCATGAAGGAGTAGTTCAGTTAAGTCATCCATCCCTTTTCTTGCTGTATTTTCATGATAGTACTACTCCTCCTTCAGTGTCAGAGTAATTGCCAATCCATTTTAGCTTGACTAATGTTTAAGAAAATAATCCAAATTAATTACCGTGGATTTGATGCAGGATTTTTTAAAGCCTAGTGGAGTTTCATACTTTAGGTGTAATGAGTATTCCTCGGCTGTATTCTAAGTAATATCACATATGATTAAGTATGATGAAATCTCTCTGAAGGGGTGCAAATATTTCATTAAGAGCTTCGCTATCGACTAATTTTTTCAACTGAAAATTGATTCAAAGATTAGCGCTATGTTTTTTAAATCATCAACACATCCAAATGTGTCCTGCCAATGCACAGTCGGTTGCATGCAAATCAGAAAGGGAGTGAAAGGTTGAACATGTGCTCCCTGTTGTATGTTTCAATCCTGAATATATCCAGCTTGCCTAAATGCTCTAACTGCATGTTTGCATGTGCTTGTGCTAACTGCCAATCACCTGATGCCACTGTGATTTCTGCCCTTTAACCCCCACTGTAGCCCTCCTTTTCATTCCTGACTACCGATTGGCCGAAGGATTGTCTAATAGAATCCCACACAACCAATCACAAGATTTCAGCACCACCAGCTCTCACAACAGCTCAGAGCGAAGCGGCAGTCTCTCAGGTTGGTTTACACAACAGAGAATTTCAAAAAAGCAAACTAGGTCACTCTGTAGGGCTCTGCAGCTTCACTTAATGATTGACTGGTGTCTTCATTGCTTCATTGATCTGCAATTTGCATGAACTAACCTGACATCTAAGAAAAATATTTTAAGCACAGTCCCTCTCCCTCGCCAGAGACACATTGCCCACTCCTTACTCCTGACGCTCCCACTGCTTACAGATCATTACATGTGAATGATTGATGCTGTTATGGATACATTTATTGTATTGGTGTCTTTTATGCATATATATGTTCAGTAGAACAAGAAGCCATGTTGTGATATTGGGTAGGAGTCAACCGTTTATTGGAGCATAAACAAAACAGGGCCTTTTAAGTCAGACAGAAAAATATACCAATCTGATCTTGTGAAAGAATATAGCTGCAAGTGCCAATGCGGGGTTTCTGCCATCAGCGCCGGTCCTTGTAAAGGCTTTGTCTCTTTTTGAGTGCGCAGATGGGGATAGAGGTAGAGGGAGTCTTTCAGACAGAGTGGACTATACACACACACACACACACACACACACACACACACACACACACACACACACACACACACACACACACACATACAGACACACACCATTAGAGATGCTTGGCTAGGTAAAGTGGCAAAAATACCTCCCTTTTTCCCTCTTCCGCTAATGGTGGCTGACTACACTAAAACCCATGTTCACAGAATTACAATGTCATTTATAGGACACCAAGGCAGCCCTCTGCCTGCCTCCCCTACACTCTCCTCTTTTATCCAGTTACAAGCCACTGCCTTAACTGGTCTGTAATTCAATACTCCGTCACACAGTGGGCCGCAGAGAAGGATGTGAAGTGGCCATGCTTTACAGACCTTCCCATAGACACACTTGGTACTGATGGCTCTGACTGGGCTTAGCACATGCTCTATTATAATGTCATGAGATGAAGAGAAACACAATTAACAAGAAAGATCCCTGCACAATATAATTCAAAAATGCTCTTAAAGAATTGGTCGACATTGTGGGGAATATGCTCATTCATTTTTTTGCCGAGATTTAGATTAGAAGATTTATTCCAGTCTTGCCTCTGCCCACTAGCCAGCAGACTGTTAGCTTAGCTTAGCATAACGAACAGCTATGCTCAATTGTCCATCGTTACTAGTATTCTTTTAACTCTAAGCAAGATAGCAAAAAAGCATATTCCTCAATATTCTTAAGAGCATTATATATTGTATTGGATCTACTACAACTTTGCATGTTTAATATGAAAATTAAGTTCACAAAAAACAATAATCAGTGGGCACCTGAAACAGGAGATAAGCACTTACATTAGTTTCTGAGTATATATGGCATGTGGTGCATATTTATCACAAGTGGGATGGAATTTTGAATCAGCACAAGCTCAGGTTTGATTCATACAAAGTAAACTCAGCAATTGAAGGGGGGGAGTTGAAGTTACAGTGCCTTGCTCTGCCTCTGAGGAGATGGAAGTAATAATGAATGTCAGGTCTGAGGGAGGAGAGCAGGATGAAAAGGAACAGAAATAGAGCAGCTTTCATGGCAGCATGGATCTCCACTGGGGACATGAAGCTGCTCATTAAAACCTTTCTTAGTGTAGCGAAAAAGAGGTAGCTGGTGTTTTCTGTGTTTCCTGCAGCAGATTGAGACCCTGAAGACTCGACACTTCCCTCACACTCAGGCTGTTTATGATTCCTTTAGTATGTCAAGTCCGATGTTATGTGCGACTTGTCGTGCTCCTGCACTCTCCTTATATGTTGCATCTCACCTCATTATGTAATATGTAATATGTTGTTGTTGTTGTTGTTTTTGTTCTACACTGAATTTAAAAAAAGATAAAACATGACTTTCAGTTATTTTGATGCCTTTTTTGAAATGATTCTCCCATTCCCATAAGATATATATGGCTACATAGTCCTTCTAGAGTCGCTGCTCTGTGGCTTTCTTCCACAGCATTGACGCACCCAATAAAAACAGAGCAAGCTCAAGGCCATGCAGCCCTACAGTTTTAGGCTGGAAGCGCCCAAACCTTGGGTATAAATACACAATGCTGAATCTATATTTAGTTTAAGTTCCCCTTTGAAGAGAGGCCCAGTTTTGTCAGAGGAGATGGGTTCTTGTGTAACTCATGTATAGTTCCTAGCCACAGCCTCTCTCTCTGTATTTTTCATATTTGGGGTGAGCTGTTGTAATTTCAATGCCAGACCATCTTTCCCTAGAAGAGGCTCATTTACAATATTGATGACTGGTCTCGTGTGGAAGGGCTAAGGATGATTGAAGAATCACGTCAGCTCACCATTTATTGGTAAAAGTCAAGCCCGGAGGTATGCTTAGGAAACTCAATTACTTTCAGACTATACGCTGATGCTGCTTGGCTTACAGTTGTTTCTTTTATTACTTCTATTCTTTACTAATCTTATTTTGACACAGCTTCTATCTCATCATCCCGGATATGTCCTTCCCTGCCCTAGAATCTTTAGCATGAACAACCTTGAAGTGCTTTTGTATTCCTCCTAGTATAAGACTCATAACAGTAACATAATCATCATTTTCTGGACTTGAAAACATATTGGGCAGAGTCTTTTAGTTTCTTTGCCATCTGGCTTCCATGAGAATCAATACAAATGTACCTCATTGCCTCCGTAAGTTTATTTTGATGACAGTTATCTACTTTTAACCATGCCTGAGTCAAGTCAGTTTATTAGATTACATTAGAGAGCATTATTTTACAATGCACAAGATGCAGTATGGGCAGCTTTTTTGTGGCACTCGGGAAAAGTGATTACAGGCCTTTGGCAGAGGGAGGCTAACCAACAATTGACAGATACAAATGTGTTCAACAGAGTTTCCAAAGACAGCTTTCACTAGTCTGTGGCCGGTGACGTCAGTTAGTGGCATTTCCAGGATTGAGATGTTAAGTGTTTACTGGTAGTGCCACAAATGGATTTGCACATGCAAATACTGTGTAGTCTTTCTCTGTACTCCTTTTTTATTTGAAAAAAGAGTCATGATAGAAATAATATTATTTGTTTACACATAAACGCTCCAAAATAAATGGTACAACATAATATTGAATTGATAATGGAAATAATTATTATAGCTCTAAAATGAGGGGGAAAACAATCATGTTTTACCAAGTGATGTGGACATGACACCAGTACTACAGGCCTGTAGTAGTCTGAATTGTTAACAGTAGGAACATTTCCCCAGTTTCCTCCAGTGTGTAACGAATATGAGATGGTAAAAATGTAGCAACCATCCAAAAACAGGTTTCTTTTCTTGATATTTTGTAATCCTTAAATTGCAAGTAGGACAAAAACAGCTGTCAAACGTTTATAAACATCAGACCAAAAAAAGGATTTCACTTTTAAATTGCATGAAAATATCATATTATGTACAGTGTATGTTCATTCGCTTTTCTGAGTCGCCAGGCATATGTGTATGGTGTATATATTTCAACTTAAAAACAGATTTGTGCTTGAAGTCAAATGCGTTTTAAAGAAATATAGGTTTCTCCCACTGTGACCAAATCGTATAAAACCCAGTATTGACCAGGCTGGCAGATTTATAAAGATGGATGGGACAGAGGAGAATCTGGGGTTGGAGGGATATGAGTGGAAATGGATGGGGTTAGCGGCTCTCCGGTGTAATAAAAGAAATGAAAGTAGTAATAGACTCTCAGTGAATTCCATTAGGGACACACTGACACTACACAAGCCATTCATTATGATGATGCTGTGAAGTGAGATATTTCATTGTGGAACCCAAAGCCTAGTGTGAATGGGGACACTGAGGGATGGGTGGGGCACAAAGGTCTGTCTCAACCTTGTTTACTGCCGTTCTTTCCTGTTTCTATGGAGATTTGAGGCTTTTTAGCCAATTAATCAATGGAAGCTTTTCATCCAGCAACCTTGAGCTTTTCTATGTAAGTACTGAAAGGCAGGAGCCCATTGAAATCTTGTTTTTCTATTTTCTGAGGATATGTTGAAGTCCAAATCGATCTGTAATCTAAGTAGCATGTTTGGACTAAATTGAGTTTCTTCTCCATACACATTTGTTACATGACAAAAGCAGCTGCTGTAATTTGCAATGCTATCCCCCTTGTTTATTAGTTTTTAATTGATTTTCTTTTGCAATCTAATTTTCAATGACTGTCTCTTAATGCATTATTTCCTTTTGTAGGTGGAAAGGGAGGGAAGAAGAAGAAGACCAAGGGTGGCTCCAAACCAACTAAAGCCAATGGATCCAACTGGGCCAATGTCCCCCTCCCCCCTCCCCCTATTCACCCACTCCCTGGCACTGAAATGGACCTTTATCCCAATGAGCTTCATGAAGGAGGAGGGTATGTCTACTACACACACAAATACATTATTCTGATACTAACTGTATTTAGCACACGATGAAACTTGCCAGGTTTTGCTGTTTTAGTTTTACCTTTTGATGGCATCTTAAATCCTGGAACATAGGGCAAGAGCAGACAGGGAACCCAAAAGGCTAAAAGCAAGGAACACACACACACACACACACACACACACACACACACACACACACACACACACACACACACACACACACACACACACACACACACACACACAATATGACTAAATGTGTTCAGATGTTTGTTAATCTGTGTACCTATCATGTATTTTTTAAAGACATGTCAAGCCGTGTTTAATCTTATTTTTATGTACACAACTTTCAGTTTCCAAGAATAATCATGCAATTCTGACGTATATGTTTCTTCTTAAAATCCCATCCTTTTTTTTACTTATATAGCTCCATTTAGATGTATATTAGGTTTTTATATTTAGTGTAAATGTAGGTACATTTTGGTAAATGCTTAGAGTATTATACAGTAGAGGTTTAAGCCCCACCAACATCCAATTCAAATCTCAATACTTGTATGCACTTGCTATGCAGCTTGTATTTTGCCATTATTGTATGTCTTCTCCTCTGACTACATCAGTAATAGAGAAACTAGACAGTGGGTGCCAAAGTAAGGTACACCACACATTGCTGTGTACAATAAGAGGGTTCAGCTCTGTTTTCTCTGCAGCTAATTACTGTACTAGTGTACATCTGGAGAACAATGAAGGATCAATGTGGGTATGGTCTCCACAGGCAGCCAGATACGCACATTCTCACTTACACAGGCTCTAACACAAAAACTCATATACAGATGGCTGCAGATCAAACTATCTGCTGTTCCTGTCTTCAATCTGAAGACTTCATGACTGGAAAATAAATGGAGGAGAAAAACAACAATGTTTGAGCAGTCTCCTGCTGCTACTAGCGTGTAGACACACAGATGGTTTGAGATTAATCTATTTTCTGAATTCCATAGTGGGAAACAATTATAATTGCATTGTTTCATAAAGGGAGCAGCAAGACACAGAGGGAGGTAGCTTTACCATCACAGCTTTATCCACCTCTTAGTCTGAATTAAATATAAAAAAGCTGCCATATTTCGTATAGATCTTTGATTCAATAATAATCATGTCATTACTTTAATCACATTACTTCAAAATCACATGACACATTTCTAACATTTCATTTAGTTTGATGAATCAAACAGAAGCTCAGACATACAATACTGTTGGAACAAAGTAACAGAGGCTTATTTAAGTGTGTGTCTGTCTTTGGTCCAATAGGTGCCATGTCCTCTTACTCCCACCTCCAATCTGAGAAAGTCATCTACTTTAATAGGCTTTCTGGCAAATGAAGACTCCTGTGCGCTGTAAATCTCAGGCTGCTCTTAATGGCTGCAGATTAAAACAGTTATGTCCTATGGCGTGTGCACTGACAAATTTCTTTAATGAACATTTTCTTTATGACTGGTATTATTTCAGCATGTATAACCACAGCTAGGAGAAAGTGAAGCCTGACTACCTCCATAATTCCACTCAAGGCTGTTTCAAAAGTTAGACAAGGTCACAAAGCTCTGTTAGATAGGAATGTGCATTAAAATATATATGTATGCTATTCCCCCCCTTTTCATTAACATTGACAATATCAGATACCATTGTGTAGATCTGTGTGCCTTTATCAAGCATAGCTTTTGAATAAATGTGCTGCGTTTAATTTGTCTGATGTATTTAGCTTTTTTGTTGTGGTGACTTATATTCTTCAATATAGATGTTGTAGATGATAAGAGCCTCAACAATTAGTCAATTATCAATACAAAAATAAAAATCTAATTCAAAATAAAACAAATAATCTAAATATTTTAGATTGAATTAAAAAAGTGAAAAGAAATGAAAAACATCCTCTGATTATGAGGACTAGCTGTTTTCTTTGTTTCATTTTCATTACATTTCTAGAATAAATATTGGATACGATTCCACACTTTTATTTATATCTTCTTTTCTTTCATCAGGTATGAGAGCGATGGCTGGGGCCCGCCTATGCCGGTGCAGACCTATCTCCACCAGGGCATGGAGGATGAGCTGGAGGAGGAGGAAGAGAGGGTCCCCACCCCGCCCATCCGGGGGGTTGCATCCTCCCCGGCTGCTGTGTCCTTTGGACAGCAGTCCACAGCCACCCTCACCCCTTCCCCTCGGGACGAGATGCAGCCCATGCTCCAGTCACATTTGGATGAACTGACCAGAGCATACCAAATGGACATGGCAAAACAGTCATGGTAAACACTGCATTATTAAAACTAAATGATACTAATCTGTGATTTAGCTGCAATCCCTCTTGAAACACATTGCTATTTCAAAGTCAACCTATGATGCATCATTTCTCAATCAGGGGATGAATTACAATGAGGACAATAAATCCCATCATGTTGAACCTATATAGTCTTCAATAGTCCACTTGTCTTTATCTAATTTACATCTATCCATCAATCAATCTTGGAAGATATATTTTTCTAGTTGATCATTTATGCATTGTTACCGTTTTTGAAATGCTTACTGTACGTGCTGTTCTATATGCATTGCTTCAAGACTTTCAGTCCTGCTGTATTCTTCCTGTCAACTGTTTGTGCAGTGGAGATAAACCCATTAATCATTTCATTTTAATGGGCCAGTGCTAGCACTTAGGCGACTACTGTATTTTGCTCACTCTAAGAGACACCATTTCTTACCCACGGTTGTTTACTCCCCCCACACCCATGCGGTACATTCCATTGTTGTTGTGCTCATGCAAGTCAGATGAAGGCCATGCCTCATTCTGTCAGCAACGTGGGCAGAATGAGAGACTGGCATTCATTCATAACAGTGAAGTGGGTGGGGGTGACAGGAAAGCCTTGTCAGGAAGGAGATGTCATGTTACCCAGTAATGACTATGTTGGTTAGAGAGCATCCTTGACAACGCCAGAGGGCCAGTAATTACAACCAATTCCCACTGCAAACCGCGTCAAATACATTGTGCTCCTCAAACAAGCGCGGCTGACAGCGGAGCGGCTTGCCACTGAGGTGACAGCCATGTGTCGGCAGGCCTGGAGAGCATGCCTTTGTACCATCCACAGCAGCAATTAGCGGGTCATTATGTTAGCATGCAAGCAGCAACCTAACATTTGTGAAATTGTCTAAATGTATTCAGCACTTCACATATAAAAAAATAATCACTGAAATGATCTCTACACTTCCACATACAGTCTTAGTTTCTCCCTATCCTGTTGCATACAATAATTTGAATATTCCTTTTAGTCTCTCTGTATTCCTCCACATTCCGTTATTGCATGTGGATTTCAGAGTCATATACTCTTTCTTTCTCTTCCCAGGCACATGCAAGTGGGCTCTCTCCCCCCCCAGGCTCCAGCTCCTCCATTGGGCTACGTGTCGAGCACAATGGTTTCTGACCTGGAGACTGACGTACCTGATGAAGATGAGGAGGAGGAGGAGGAGGAAGAGGAGGAAGAGGAAGAGGAGGAGGATGAAGGCTATGGAGCCAGGCATCCCCGCGGCATTGAGCACACACCAGGGTCTAGCATGGACAACCTGGACAGCTCTTTAACAGGTAAGCTGTAGTCTGAACTGTGGCTACTTGTGCGCTCCTTGGTTGATGTACATATATGATAATATACTGTATTTGTATACATTTATACAATGAAATCATATTTTTATTTTTGTTCTCAAAGCAAATGTACTATGTTGCTATTACTGTGTGAAATGGGAACACATTGAATACCCATTGTTGTAACATCGTGTCTGCCTGTAAATGGATAGTTGTTCATGACATGTTCTTCAGCAGTCTGCTATGGGTAGATTGTTAATGTGAACATGCTTACTGAGTCCCTCAATCAAGTTTCTTAAGCACTTTTGGCAGACTCCTGGGAATTATAATTATAATTTCCAAAAAAGAGATAAGAAAGTCCATGAATTTTAAACAGGATAGTGAGAGGGAAATTAAGAGGAGGGAGAGGCAAGGCGAGCAGGAGCGAGTGAGTGTGATTTAATTCGCACATAGCACAGGAGCCAGCGCTTCCCATATCTTCACTCGGAGATTTGAAACACATTTCACGTGCGGCATATTCCTTTGCAGGCTAGAGGCACCATTTCCATTTTTACAACTCACTGAAACTTTAACAGCCGTCTGTCCTGGCGACATATGAAGGGCATGACATTGCGGTGGCAGAGCTGTGTGCTGGACTGTTGCTCTTATACTGACCAGGCCCCACTATCTAATTATAAAATAGTGGGTAAAACTAGAGGGATATTTCTGAATAATAATGTGTGGCTTTCTGTCTATCATGCATTATTAGGGCAAGTTGAGATACTACGTGGCACTGTATATTTAATCCATCTTCCCATAAAGTCTGTGAATACAACAAAATAGAATCCATCTTTGGTCAATGTCAGGTTGGAAAGAAACAGCTATAGCTGTGTGTGTGAAGGTAAGAGGGTTGACAGCGCTGCTTGTTGGTATACCCTCTCAGTGGCAGCCCTAAAGAGTAGTTTTCCACTGGATGATGGAACAGTGGTTTTGGTTACGCTGACACATGCTGCTGCTGATGTATTTAAAGGAATATAAAGCAGCAACCGGGCCCTAATCTACTGCATCTCTCCCCCACTGTATCACCCTAAAGACAGCACTATTTCTTCTTATCTCTCTGCAAGTCTGCCTCGCACCCCATCGGTTTACAACACAGACACGGTCGCAGCCCCATGGTTATAGCAGGAGGAAGAGAGGGAGGAAAGGGGAAACTGATGAGATTTATTGTGGCCACCATTTTGAGGCTATACAAATAGGGGAGGGTAGGGGGGAGATTCCTGTCGAGCCTTGCTTGACAGACATGTCACTGCTTTAATAATATGGAAATAGGTCTGTTTTAATAATGTTAAACCAAAGGCCAGTAAATCAAATGTTTTCACAGATGCCTCAGAAAAGAAAGTCTGCCATCTCCTCTGGGGCCATTTTTCTCCAGCAGATTGCCTGCACAGGCTTTCCAAAGTGTTATTCTATTCTCTGAGATAGAACAGCACATTTGTGGGCAGATAAATGCAAATCCTTATATTGTGGTGGGTAATGCTGCGGAGCTAAATCTTGTTTGAGCAAAAGAGATGAAGTAAAACAAATAGGTATCACCTGACTTGTGTGTAGGCGTTATATGTCGTATAAAGCTGAGATGTGGTAGCTGTGAGGCTGTTACGCCTACTGTTCTGGGCGATTACTCTCCCAGAAAGCCTTGCCAGGTTTGTGAGGAGCAGGGTCACGTCTCCTGACGGCAGGTAGAGACGCCTTGTCGTCAGGGGGAATGATTTTCCTGCTTAACGACATGCAGATTAAGGTTTCCGTCAGTGTAAATCAGTTTTAGTGTTAGGAGGGAGCTGGGCTGGGTTTTACTGCCCCCCCAACCATCTCAGCGTTTACTGGCCTTCCTCTAACAGAGCGGGGAGCACGGGATGTAGCAGCCAGTGGTTTTTAGATTGCATGGCTTGGCCTATCGCTCTGGTTTAACACATGATAAAATGACACGTAGTGCAAATCTTTGTCTGGTGCGAACAGAAAAAACATTTCTATGGCAAAAGAGAAACTTCATTGAATTTTTATCAAATTATCTGACAATGATCACAGTTTGATTGGACTGCTATTTCTGAGAATGGAAGTGCTCCAGAGGTTCAGCAGCAGAAAGTGGCAGTTAGTGCAACTGAAAAGTCATTCTGTGATGTGATTTGCTGAGGCAGTGTTCCTTCGCTGAGCCGGAGGAGTTGGAAGCTTCAGTGCTTCGGCTGGCTCTGTCTATACTTCAATATCTGCTCTATTCTTTGTGGGAGGATTGGACCCGGTGGAATTGCTGTCTTTCTTTCTTAGAGAAAAACTCTTAGAAAAGAATTTCAAAGAAAATAGCTCGATAAGATGAAGGGTTCGAAGTAGTTACTGCTTTGGATTTGAGTTGGCGCTGTAAAAATGGGTTGTGTAAGGGGTTCTCTACCTTATGCAAGCTTATATTTTATAAAAGTTTCCATTAGGCTGACACATTTTTACTGCAATAGGAGTGCAAATCTGTTGCAACTTTAGCCGTTGAATGTGCAATTCCTTCACATCCAGTGACTGAGTAACCACCTCTTTCAGTCATAGGGTTTTAGGTATACAGCAACTCAGAGATGGAGAAGTTGGAAAACCCTTTGAGGGGGGTTTGTGCATAAAAAAAACAATTATATTACCAAGTTTAGTTTGAAACTGTAATCTGTGAAACCCCATTTTTAATACTGCACATACTATACAGTATTTATTTATTGTGTTAATTTGAATCTCTGAACTCTGCCAACCACACCGGCCATGATTATGCCACCCTTTGATTCAAAATGACCTTTTAATAAATCCTGCTGCTAACTTTTTGTCCCCTTTGCTCCCCCTCCATCCTTAGCTTAACACCTCCCATGTTCTCTGTTACACCAGTCTGTTCAATCACGTCACTCTTGCGGACGGTGTGAGGGAGAGATAGTGTGTGAGCAAAGCACTTGGGTTCGTGCCACTTGAGCAAAGTCTGCCAAACCAGTCCCACTGAAAGCTGTCACATTAGCCGACTGTTCTGTGTTTTCGCTTGCCAAAGTGGCATTTTTTTTATTGGCAGGTTGATACTTTTATATATAAAGTGCTGGACTAGCTTTTTATGTGCAAAGAAAAATAAAACAAAGCCTGAAGAAATACTTACAGTAGCACAGATTACATAACAATATGTACACATCTTCTTCCAATGTTTGTTGAGTAAAATATTTGTACTTATCTTCCATCTTTGAATCATCTTTAAAGTAATATCAAGAGCAAATGCATCCAAAATGGTGGTAGCTATAATTAAAATGTTTAAACAATTATTTTCTCAGAATGATAATACATTTGAGATAGTTATGGCTCTGCATTTTTCACAAAAATGAAGAATGTGTGTTTACCACCAGGTGTTTGACTCACTGTTCTATGAGAAGCTCTCCGTCTGTGTCACCTGAGGCAGTTTTGTAACTAACTCTGCTCCGCACAGGTGCGCTCATTGTTCTATATCAAAGGAAGCACAAAATGTGTTGATGTTAGTCCTGCTGTTTCACTGTCTACATTCTGGTATTGTATTTGAATGCACCTGTGTGGGAAAGCAATATGTCTTCTGCATGTGTGTAGCCGATGAAAGACGACAGGCCAGAACAGATTGACTATATGAAAGCACTCACCTGCAAGAGCAGAAGTGCCCTGCGGCAAATATAAAATCATTAAAGTGAAGGAGGTCATTTTACTCTCTTTTTTCACTCAATCAGACATCAATCTAAGAGCGGAATCACAGTACAGGTGTTCAAAATGTCAGATCAAATGTCCATAAAGGTTATGGCCACTGAGCTGAGAAGTATGAACAAGCTGTGTTTGAATATAAGTGTTTTAAAAAGAAGAAAAGGACTTCACACGCAGTCTAACACACTCACACACCCACACACCTGCTCAAAACCTGTGGTGTTCAACAGGGTCCATGGTGAATGGGTGGGGCTCAGCCTCGGAGGATGACCGTAATTTCTCCAGCCATAGGTCCAGTTACGGCAGTTCGTCTGACGGCTCCATCTTTACCCAATGCAGCTTTGCCCAGGCCCTGGTGGCCGCTGCAGACAAGGCAGGCTACCAGCTGGAGGGCACTAGCCTCAGCAAGAGAGGTTGGTGTGTCCAGATACACACTGCTGGACTGGAGCTTCTCCCAGAGGCAGATGAATTGTTCCTTTCTGCTCTGATTCCTCCTCCTGTCATCCATTGGCTGACATGTTTCCCCATAATGTTGGATTTCCTCTCTGCTGCTTGTGGACACTGTGTTTTGCATGGCACCTGTTGTTAATGGCTGGACTACGGATATCTTGCTATCTTCAACTTGTACTCAGTTCTTCTATGACTCGTCTGGCTAAGCACACTTTGCACTTTGGCTTTCTTGGGTGTAAAAGAGTAATAACGGGTGATTTTGACAGGCTTCTACCAGATGACTTTCTCCTCTAATGAACACCTTTCTTTTCTGATAGGTTTCTGAATCTTGATTGATAACCTTTCCTGATGTCAGCACCACAGTCCAAGCACCATCTCCTTAATGTCTCTATTAATCAGCTGGCTGGTGTTCCTGTATCCCTCTTGCAGGTAAAGGCTTGTCCCACAGGCCCCGGCCCAGCAGTCCTTTCTCAACAGATGGCAGCACAGTGGGCTCACACAGCCTGGGCCACCAGAGGGCCACCAGGCCCACACGCAAACCCCGAAGCCAGGGGACAGCACCTCCCCGCAGAGATGCTGGTGGAGACGGTGAGGCAGCGACTGAAAACACATTTTAAATAGTTTATGTAGAAAGTTCCCCAAAACATCTGTTGTTTTACAGACTACAAGTTACTGTATACAAACATAATATCGGATGTGTCTGGACATGTCTTCATTGTTGAACCTTTTTACTTTTCACAGACCTACCTCCTCCCCCTGAGCCTCCTCCCTCTCAGGGGCAGGGCCGGGTCCAGGGGGCCCGCAGTGTGGCACCGCCTACAGATCGGAAGGCTTCATCTCTGGAACGCCCGCCTATGTCCGAGCTGGAGGAAATAAAGAGCAACATTGACAGACAGACACGCACTACTCTGGAACATCATCGCCAGGCTCAGGACAGGCTGGGCTCCATGGAGCGAGCTGAGGAGGGGCGCAGGGGACACAAAACAGGTACGTGTACACGCTGTAAAGTTGTTACACACCTCACACTCATGAGCATAACACGTATTCAGATGTATTCCTTGGCAATCAATTGGACTGATGAATGGACTGTACCAACTATTGAACTGACAGCTGCATGGACAGACCATCACTAGAGCCAAGGTTACTAAAAGGTTATGATAAAACCATTCCCATAGTAATTAGCCTAGTGCACTCTCGCCTTAACATAAGACACTTCCCATTTTATATTAAAAATAAATAAAGGGGTAGCAAAATAATCTTTCAATTGAACCACTTCTCCCCACTTTTCAACACAATATACATAAAACGTGTTTGCTTACTTCCAACTATTCAATACTGCGGAAAAAGAAACATGTACGCTAGAGATAGAGAATGGCTTGATATAAATCATTGCGTTATAGCTAGAAAACAACACAGACACAACTGCTGTTGTGGTTTGACAGTGAGGGATTTCTGAGTTCTGTGTTGAAGTTAGCCCTCATGCTGTGTGGAGACTGGGCTCCTATGAACAGATTGCACAGTCTGCCACTTGCTCTGATTTCCAGAATGCCCCCCTCAGCCTCCCCAATGCCCCTGCAACTGTTGCCAATATCATCCTGCTCCGCTCCAAGTAAGGCAGGAGGCCCCGGCAACTGAAATGCACTCTAATCGCTTTGGCTTTTTCCTCTCTCACACAAACAGCAGCCACTCTGCACCCCATCTGTGTGTGTGTGTGTGTGTGTGTGTGTGTGTGTGTGTGTGTGTGTGTGTGTGTGTGTGTGTGTGTGTGTGTGTGTGTGTGTGTGTGTGTGTGTGTGTGTGTGTGTGTGTGTGTGTGTTTGCGACCATTAGAGCTCTCCATGCTGTGCACCCTTCTCTCTTTGTGCCAGGGCTTTCTCAGACAGTTAATCTGAGACTGTGAGACAAAGACAGGTGCCGCAATCAGCATCTTTACGAAAAACCCCATAGGTGGATTCCCATATGTGTCAGAGTGCTGACTGATTCACAGCAGTATCCACTGAGGTCAGGGCAGGCTCTATTACAGTCATTAGCCGAGTGGTGGGGAGCAGTTTGATGAGATTTCACGCGACGACGGAGACTGCTGAGGGTCAAAGTTATGGTGCCCTGCAGCGGGGGGTCCCACAGCCTCCAGTGGACCCTCTGTTATTGTATTTACCCCCTCATAAGGCTGCTAACTGCAAGGCCATGTGTGAGGCTGAGATTCTTCTCTGTGGCACGGCCTGGCATAGCCTGTTGGCAGTGCCACTGTGCAGATGTCAGCGGGGGGGAGGGGGTTGCAAATTGCTCTTTGTCTCCATGCATCAGATGTTAGATGTGTTTCACTGCAACAAGAGAAAGTCACGTGTCAACTTTTTTAACTGTTAGTATTCCTTTCCTTCCCTCTGTTTTCAGAGGATGGGTGCCTGCCATACAACAAACCCTCCTTCCCCTCTCCCGGCGGCCACAGCTCCTCCGGCACCGCCTCCTCTAAGGGCTCCACAGGGCCACGCAAGGCCGAGGGGCCCCGACAGCCTCAACAGTGGACCGCCACAGAGCACGCTGAATTCCTGGGAACCAATGGACAGGGACAGTACTCGGGAGAATTATGTAAGTAATTCCATTTATTACAGACAGACATATACAAACCTACGTGTATTGTGAAAAAGTCACATTGTGTAGTCCAATTTTTGTTGCTATCTTTTGACTTTGCTTCCTAATCTGTTTTTCATTATTATGATAGCTAATGTCAATTATATTTTATATATATGTACCAGAACATTAGGACAAGATCATTTCTGATTCCAATGCTTTCTATTATTTATTTAAAATAATATGCCATTTCTCAATATTGACACTTTATTGTTTTATTCCCCTTACCTCCAACAGAGTGATCTGCCTTGGATTTGACCTGGAGAGCATCCTCTCTGTCCTGGAGAGCATGACGCCCTCGTTGTCGGGCTACGAACTTTGCCATTATTTGTGTGCCCTCGGAGAGAAGGAGTGCAGCAGAGGGCGGTGTCACAGAACTGTAAATGCGATGTATAGACACAGACATACTGTACATCTCACTATGTTTTCGTCCTCAAGAAAATATTTTCCACCTCCTACCTTACTGTAATTTTTGTTTTGTTAGAAAAAAGCAAGTAAAAAAAAAAAGAAACAATCTATACAAGAACACATTTTCTGGTAACTGCCCTTGGGAGAAAGGGCATTTTGTTTCCTGTAAATATATTCTTTACCATGTTGTTGCATTGCTATGCAAGCCTAATTCAGTTTGAGCTTTTGATTTCCATACACAGAAACGGTTGGTTTTATCTGGTTATTTGTATTATATGTGAATTGAGTGGCTGCTGTGCCATAAAATAATTGTTTTATAATCCATTGTTTGTTAATAGTTACCTTTTAATTATTATCATTATTATAATTATTGTTTTTGCACTGCAATTTTTGGTGATAAGCACAAAAAACATAGCTCCTGCTGACATGAAGAACCGGAAGGACCGGAGGGTGAAGAGGAGTTCCTGTACTGTAAAGTAAAGAGAAGAAATGATATAATGTACAGAGAGATATTAAAGAGTACGGCTTTGCTCACAGACAGCTACAAATAAGGCACCCATTTCCATAGTTGAGAGTAAATGGGGCAGCAGACACACGAGGGTCCCGAGGGTCTGAGGGCAGATATAAGGCTGGAGAGCTGTGCACAGAGGATACTGTATTACTGTTGCTGACCTTGTTAATTACTGAATTCCCAGTTAACTGTCCAGAAAAAACAATAGTTTAATAACAGAAATGTAGTGTTAAATGCTTTGGACAACATATACAGACTATGGGTCTTTTTCAAGTTGTTTTTATGATTTACTGCGTAAATAATTTAACTACACTGAGTTTACGCTGCTCTTTTAGTATAACAGCACACTAACCATAAAACAGAGAGTCAGTGAAATCTGTCCACATGCTGTACTTTAGTCATTGCACTTACAGAGGCAGATGTATGATTCTTCTATAGCCTTAACAGGTAAGCAGACATCACACTTGGGATTAGTAGCAATGATACTCCCAAACCTGCATTAAATATCAGCGGAGCAACATAATTTGTTTACATCTTTTATGTTTTGAATTTTATGTCTTTAGTTCCATCATTTTAATATTGTTTGCTTTTCAGAGCACTTACTGTTTTATGTTTTTTATATTATTTGTTCAGTATCGTCCAGATAAGTGCTGTTAAAATTAGTTCTCTATTAAAGCATTTGTTGCTCTAAAGGTTGGTGCCTCAACGACCAATACACTATGGTCGGCACAGCCTTAGAAAAAAAGTGTGTGTATGATTTACAATGTAGCTTTGATTCAATGTTTGAATTCAAACGATAAAGTGATAATGGAGAAAAGCCTTGTACTTTAATAGCAGGTCCCACTGCCTCCATATCTACAGCCACAGTGTTGAGCAGAGAACGTTCTACTTTCTATCTGCCTGACCGTCACAAAACACCCACTTATCATCTGCCGCTTTCAACTTCTCATCCTTTGAATTGCAATTTTGTGTCTTTCAAGACAGGTTTATTATTGGTTGTCCTTTTTTAGTGAAAGCTTGTTTCTTTTGTATGCCTTTTACGGACTCCAAATTGCTGCTTACAAACATGTTTTCAATATTACTGTTCAGGATTTTTGTGGTTCAATGACTGTTTGTTTTTGTCTTTTTTGTACTGCTAATGTTGATAAAAGGGGGGTGGAAACGAAAGGCCGTCAGAAGCTGTTGTACTGTTGTCGTCATGCCATTGTCATTTTATATCATCCACCCAGTGGCCAGTGTTCTGGAAATGAGGTGCAAAGAGTATCTCAGGTTATTTTACATTCTGGTGGCGTTTATGTATGTGTATATATGTGTATATATCCATACGCATCTCCACTTGATTATGCCATTCCATTTTCATTGACAAAAATATCCCTCTCATGTCCAATTCTGTCTTCCCCTCTTTTTCTTTTCTGCTGTGGATTTTGATTCTGAGTATAATGTGCTGGTTCATCCAACTTAAGACATGATGTCAGTAAAAGAACATACCAAATTAAGATTGATATTTCTAATGTCTAATGCATTTTAGTGTCTCTTTAATACTCATTGTTTTCTTTTAAATCACAGTGTCGTTTTGTATTTATTAAAATGATAATAAAAGTATATTGTGAAATATGCATAAAGATTGGTGGAATATAAAATGTGTTTTTTTGTTCCTTGTAAAGTTTGCTGTCCGAGCCGAGCAGCGAGGCCATAAAGAGATGATGGCACACTGTGCTCACGGCGCGGTGCAATGCCTTGTCAGTAGTTGCTGAGTCACTCTTCGTCCTGCATGTTCACCACACTGCTCCTCTCATGTCAAAACTAAGGCAACTTAGAACTCTTTTGAACAAAAGGAGCAACAACGCTCACAATTTGCTTGTCAAGACAATAGAGAAAATGTCTTTTTGGAAGGATGAAAGTACTTTCACTTTCCCTCTCTTGTGTTCATTTTCTCAATATTGTTGATTCTTTGTAGCCTATCTGTGTGTTGCCTTTTTGCTATAAAAGAGGATTAAAAAGTGACTTAAAAAGAGAAAGTTGTTGGTTGAAGTCTTTCTGTACAGTAAGGAGTGAGGTGACACTCAGATTCAAAGCCATTTCTACCCTACGGTACGTTTTTTCTGTAAACACCTTCTGTATTCACTTGCATGTCCAAGAAGAGAGTGGATCAAGAAAATAAACTTTTAAAGTCTCCCATGTCCTGTAAGATAAATCCATGTTCTTTTATTTCCTTGTACCTGGATCAATATCAAATAAAATATTTTTGAAAAATGAAATTGCCTTAAATTATGTTTGTCTTTGATAGAAAGACTTTTACAGGAGAACTGACAATTCAAAATTAGGTGTTAAAAATATCAATATGTGTTGTAGACTAAGTCCAAAAACATGCACATCACTTTAATATCTATAAGATGTGCTCAACAACATGGGTTTGTGTTTGTACCTGTTCACTAGAGATATGCAGCCTGTGTGTGTGTGTGTGTGTGTGTGTGTGTGTGTGTGTGTGTGTGTGTGTGTGTGTGTGTGTGTGTGTGTGTGTGTGTGTGTGTTTAAGAGTCCTGAATCAGCTGTTATTTTTTATGTCAAACCAATCCCTACCTCGATCCAAATCTCCCACATCACTAAGACAAGCAGCCTGCTTTCAAGCTCTATTTGAAGCGAACAGTAAAATAATGGGGGGGAAATGCAAAACTAGATTTATAAAACTAGGAACAGGTTCTGTATTTGCTTTATGTTCAAATATTAATCAACCAGTATTCTTATTTTTTTCATTCCACATTTTCCATATTCATATGGAATCAGTCTTCAAATTAACTGGGATTAATTCATAGAACAGTGCATACCTCGACCGCAAGTTTGCAACACAAGTTTATAAAAGGTTGCTACTCTATGACTAAGTTGTCTGTTGAGCAGTGTTTGGTCATTTTCAGAAAAAAATATGTTTTCTGGAACTCACTGGTGAAAGCTCAGGGCATTAGACTCTGAGGCAACCGTTTTTTCAGGAAATGCTGAAGGTGTTGATAGACAATGGATCGTATAAAAAGAATGGCAGGACATCGTTGTTACCACTACTCTGTTATGTAGCCAGAGGAAGAGTTCAAAGAAGATACATGTAACAGAAATGCCCATGTTACAGTATAGAAAGAAAGCTTTTTTTCGTATTTGTTTTGGTCTCCCATTCTCTTATCTGACACTTCACGATCAAATGTCCAATAAACGCAAAAATAAATACTGAAAAAAAGGGATTATAGAAGGTCAACTGTTTGACGGATTTGCATTTGTAAAAACTTTTATTGTCATTTGTGCATAGCTACAGTGTAATTATGACGATGAAAATCTTATGTCACAGGCTCCTCCAACAGTGCAACACAATAAAACAGATACAATAGTGCAAGTAAATAAAATAAAAATATAGTATAAATACTGCAGAATAATATAGATATACAAGTAATTGGAATATTGATATGCAGTACAGTATGAGCCTTAAGCATCTTGAATTAAGTGGTTGGTGCTGTCTCACCAGGTTGTTTTCTCATTGTCCATAAGGGGAAGAACACCAATGCATTGCATAAGAAGCGCTGCCACTTCATGTCAAGTTATTATGACCAGCCTCAGTCTGTGGTCATATGCATTACGGTGCTACCTAATGGGCCTTGTGGCAATGTGCCCTCTTGTCAGGGATACATGAGGCATTCATCAACTTAGATTGTGATCTAATTTTAGGTAGTATATAACAACCCCTCCACTGCTGACACATGTTGTCCTGTCAAATCTCCTATCCTGGCTTCACCAGAGTTGCAGGTCAGAGTTCACTTTTGTATAACTTCTCTATTTGAATCAGCAGCCAGCATCGCTTCCATGCACTAAGGTTTTTAACTTACTGTTAAAAATATATTGGTACATTGGTTAAATATTATTTTTAGGGCTGAGTTTGGGAAGGTGTTATTGAGAAAACGGCTGATGTGACCATCTTAACCATTGAGTGTCAGAGACCTAGTTGCAAACATTGCAGACTTTACCATGCTTCGCTGGGTTACCTGAGATGCACTCACATAGTTCAAGACAAAACAAACATTACATTATTCCCTTTAACAATATTAAGTCATGTGTAATTTACGTCGTAACGATTCAGAAAATCCCCATAACATTAAACTTTAAAGTTTTCCCCCCGCCTTCAACAGAGTGTGCTATTCCATCACAAATCACACTGCTAATCACTGCACATGAGATAATTGCTAGCTAAATGAGACCACGTTGCTGGGATTTGAATTTGACGCAAATAGTCACGCTACTGTCCAAATGAGAAAACGTTGCAAACGCGATAAAGTAAGGCATAACGCGTACAACTGAAAATACGTCTCGAGAACTAAGGCCCCGGCAACACAAGGACGAAAACCGTCGTTTGCGTTACTGTTTAGTGTCATATAGACCATTCGGCCACACGAGGACGACCGAATATGACAGTAAAC